AAAAAAAAAAAAAAAAAAAAAAAAAAAAAAAAAAAAAAAGACTAGGTCGTGGGTCCAGCAACCCAACCATGCAGAAGAAAAAGGGGGATGAAATGATTGGGCAGCCATGATCTCCAGGCAGCACCTGGCACCAAACGTGGATCTCTGACCGCCTTCCCGAGACAGTAATAGCCGCCCCACTGGCGGGGCAGATTCCGAATCGATAGTTTCAGAATTGGTCGCCAGTCGCCAGTTCGCCACTCTGAGGAATTTTCCATCGACCGCAAGCAGAGGGCTGGCTCTCACGTGGCTGGCAGCCTTTCGGAAGTTCCGAACTTGGGCTCGAGGTGGTCGATTGTCTGCAAGTGCGCAGGAAGACAGAGATAGATGCGCAACACGCAGGGGGTGTTCTCTCCGGTCGACTTGACCCGGGTATACGGCAATGGATACTACCTATCATCGAGAATGATCAGGAAGATTCGTGCTTACGAATGTGATAACATTGAAGATGCGAGATCCTTGAGAGAATACGATTCCACGACTAATCAATGCATAACTAGGTACTCCGAAGTTAACTTAACTGCCAGTGCTGACGTCATGGCGGGTTTGTCCCGCGGGCGGCCAATGGGGGCCAGACCACTGCTGCCTGAAGGCCTGAGGCACAACAACAAGCATCATCATCACCCGCAACGACTTCACCTGCTTCATTCAGTGAGTGCATCTGCTGCTCAACAGATGAAACAAACGGTCAATTGGAAACTTCACTAGTACATATACAAGTCCCTCTCATCTATCGGCGTGTGCTTGATAAGGTGTGCTGGTTCTGGGTTCGGCAATGCCAACTACACCCGGAAGCCGTTAAATGTGGGGCGAGAGCAGCTGGACGGATAAGTCGGAATGGTGCAGCGCCTGATTCATGGATCTGGTCAAGGCAAAAAAAAAGGCTGAATGTCCCTTTTTTTTCTTCGTTAGGATTAATTGTAATATTACTCCGCTTGGTCCCTGGAGCTTGTTTCTCTTTCCAGATTTTCCACTTTTCAATCAAGCTGCTGGTGGTCATTTCATTCCCACCTTCTGGTCTCCTCTCTCCCTCTCTCCTCCATCTCCCGCCCCTTCTAAGTCGAACTATCAAGCATGTCTGCCTTCGACAAAGAGCTCGAGATGGCGGAAGCCGATGCCCGCCCTCATATGAAAGAAGAAGGCCCCCGGAGGTCGTCTGAGAATCCAGACCGGCCGAGTTCCTCCGGCTCGGCTTCGTCCGGCTCAAGCAGCTCCATCGACTATAATCCCCAGATTCACCGGCTCCAGTCCCGAAATACCGAAGTTGACCTCGAGCGCCTCCGCACGGGGACCTCCCATGCGCTGAGTCGCATCGAGACCCAACGTCTTCAACATGCCCTGACGGTGGGTGAAAGTGTCAAGTCGCGACCATCTCGAGGCCCGTTGCCCGCGTTCGGCGGGGGCAAGCCCTATCCTCCTCCTCTCCCGGCCCGGGAAGACTATGTCGTTGAGTTCGACGGTCCTGCCGACCCTCTATACCCCCAGAATTGGCCCTTGATGCGAAAGTAAGTGTTCTCATGCATTGATTCCGATGGCGTATCGTGCAATGTCAGATGGTGGATGGCTAACGCCCGCTCCCCTCCCTCTCTAGAGTCTACATCAGTGCCATCCTCGCGTTCACCAGTATCTGTTCCACCTTCGACTCGGCCGTCTTCAGCGGTTCCAGTACCAATGTCGCGAAGCACTTCCATGTCGGTCTGGAAGTGGCCACACTGTCGAGTTCGCTGTACATCATCGGATACGCCTCGGGTCCGCTGATCTGGGCCCCGCTGTCGGAGTTGAAGGGGCGCAAATTGCCGATTGTGGTCGCCATGTTAGGGTTCGGGATCTTCAACACGGCCGTCGCCGTCGCCAAGGATCTTCAAACCCTCATGATCTGTCGGTTCTTCTGCGGTATCTTCGGCAGTTCCCCATTGGCGGTCGTCGCGGCGATTTTCTCCGACATGTACGATAACCGCACGCGCGGTGTAGCCATCGCCATGTTCTCCGGCACGGTGTTCCTGGGACCCCTCCTGGCGCCGTTCATCTCGGGCTTCATCAACGCCTCCTACCTCGGCTGGCGCTGGACCGCCTACATCCCCGCCTTCATGGGCTACGCGGCCTTTGTGCTGAACGTCTTCTTCCTGCGCGAATCCTACCCCCCAGTCATTCTCGTCTCCAAGGCCTCGGAGCTGCGCCGTCGCACCAAGAACTGGGGCATCCACGCCAAGCAGGAGGAGATCGAGGTGGATCTGCGGGAGCTGGTGATCAACAACTTCTCGCGGCCGCTGCGCTTGCTCATCCACGAACCCCTCATCCTGGCGGTGACCATCTACCTTAGCTTCATCTACGGGCTGCTGTACTGCTTCCTGACGGCGTACACACTCGTCTTCCAGGGAGTGTACCACATGGAGGCCGGCGTCAGCGGCCTGCCGCTGTTCGGCATGGTGGTGGGTCTGTTCATCGCGGCCGTGTACATCATCTGGAGCTCGCGGGGGTACAGCCGCAAGCTGGACGCCAACGGCGGCGTGCCCGTCCCCGAGTGGCGACTGCCCCCCGTCATCGTCGGCGGTGCGCTCTTCGCCGCGGGTCTGTTCTGGTTCGGCTGGGCGGGCTACACCGGCCGCGTCCACTGGATCGTGCCCACGCTGAGTGGCCTGTTCACTGGTTTCGGGCTGCTGATCATCTTCATCCAGCTGTTCAACTACCTCATCGACACCTACCTCATGTTCGCCGCCTCTGCCATTGCCGCCAACACCTTCTGCCGATCCATGGTCGCCGCCAGCTTCCCGCTCTTCTCGCGGCAGATGTTCAACAATATGGGCATCCAGTGGGCCTCGACCCTGCTGGGCTGCGTGGCTGCGATTCTGGTGCCTATCCCCGTCGGCTTTTACTTCTTTGGGCGTCGATTGCGGATGAAGAGCAAGTTTGCGCCGTTCTATGAGAAGGCGCAGGAGTCGCATGCCCCCGACGAGGATGATCATGTGCTCGAGGGAGAGAATGGTGCGGCGCATTAAGGGTTGCGCTGCAGCTGGAGAAGACTGAGATGCATCCCGTCTGTTATTTGGATGATGAATGATGGGAACAACACTCTTATACCACATACATTGTATATGTAATGATAATTCTTAGTGACGTGGAGCGTTCTTGTCATACACAGCTTTTGCATTCGCAGTTTGCATGTTTAGCATAAAAGTTGGGAACGAATGTTGAATGTTTGAATGTTTTCTTATCTATTCCTATCTATACATTAGCGGTCGAAGGATTTGATGTAGCGTAGTAGAAAGACGGGAAGTGGGCTGTTTTGTCACTACACATGCGAATTGTAGCACATATATCCTTAAGAGTTGGCAAATTATATAATCAAGGTGCTGTGGTCTAGTGGTATGACGTCACGTTGTGGCCGTGCCAGCCCCGGTTCGATTCCGGGCAGCGCCACTTTCTTTTTTTCCCGTTCTTTTTGCTGCGTCACGGGTGGTGGTTCTGCCTTGCAGCCTCTGGCATGGAGTAGCTGTGGAGTCTCTGATGCCCATGCAAACTGCAAAGAGAGGCCTGACACCTCAGGCACCAAGGAAATCCCTTACTGCTGCTGTCCCACCCAGCACAGGCAACATCACGTGTTCCGACCGGTGCCTGGCCGGTCCACCTGAGCGCCGACCAATCACACGCGCCAATGGCCCAGGGTCTTCAGGCAACAGCCAGGCGTTGGGGCCTCAGGCTAGGGGTCGGCCTAGCGGCGGGGACGAAACAGGCAAGTAGCTGCATTGCTTCATCGCATCTTCATCTCTCCACCACCGCTTTATAACCATATGCATCTCCTTTAATCCTTTCGTTTTTGCCCTCTCTATCCTTTCTTTTGATTCTCACCTCGTCTCCAGTGTTGACAAACCTTGATCTCAAGCTCATCTTCCCCTTATCCAGACACATTGTGACCCACAAGGCCTCGTATTCGCAACCGAGCCAAACACTGTTGCTCGGAGAGCTCACTCACCACTCTTTCCCCGGCACATCAATCTCACTTTCATATCCTCTCGTTGCCATGACAAAACTACCGCTAGACGGATTGGTCATCGCCGTGGGCGGGACTTTCCCGGGCTACAAACAAGGTGCGCAACACTGATCATGCGCCAGTCTCGTTTCCAATCGTCCGGTCTACAGCAAACTGACCCTCACAGCCGACCTCACTTCCATCATCAAGAAACAAGGAGCAGAGTTCAGTTCGGCCATCACCGAGACCTTGACGCATCTGATTACCACTCCCAAAGAAGTAGCTAACCAGAGTCGCAAATGTGAGTCCATGCCCGGGGAAGCTTGGAGCGTTACACGCTCTGGCAGGTGACTGCTGTCTGGACCATCACTGACCCTGCCCTCTAGACACGCAGGCATGCAAGGTTCCGTACTGCAACATTGTCTCGCTGGACTGGCTCATCGACTCCGAAACGGCCGGCAAGAGACTGGCGGAGAAAGACTTTCTCCTGGACAACGCGAACGACAAAACAAAGACTGATGGGGAAGAGACCAAGAAGAAGCGCACACTCGAGCAGGCACTGGGTGTCAACGAGGATGGGACGACTAAGAAGCTCAAGAATGCGCAGAAGGCCGGAACGAAGGCGTTGAACATCCCTGTGGATGATGAGTGTCCGCTTCGACGTTTGTGATCCGTCCTTGCTTGTGGGGCTGGTGTCAAGAGCTGACAACTCCGCGTAGGCTCTCATAAAGTATACATCGACCCCGAATCGACCATCTGGGATGCCACCCTGAACCAGACCAGCGCCACCAACAACAATAACAAGTTCTACCGCATCCAGCTTCTCACCAACCCTACCCAGACAGAGTTTCTGACCTGGACCCATTGGGGCCGAGTCGGAGAGAGTGGTCAGCATGCTCTGCTGGGCAATGGGTCCCTTGCGCGCGCCGAGGCCGAGTTCCAGAAGAAGTTCAAGGACAAATCCGGCCTCACGTGGGAGAAGCGACTGGAACCGCCCAAGAACAACAAGTATACCTTCATCGAGCGCAACTACGAGGAGGATTCAGACTCGGAGGACGAGGACGAGACGGCGGCGGCCAAGAAAAAGGTCGAGAAGAAGCCCAAGGTGGAGGTCAAGAGTGCTCTGCCCGTGCAGGTGCAGGACTTGATGGCCTTCATCTTCAACCAGGAGTTCTTCTTGTCCACCATGGCTGCTATGTCGTACGATGCGAAGAAACTGCCCCTGGGCAAACTGAGCAAGCGTACGCTGCAAACAGGTTTCCAGGCATTGAAGGATCTGTCCGAGCTTGTGACCGACCCGGCGTTGGCAGCCTCCAAGTACGAGATGAGTTTTCAGGGCGCCGCGGAGTTCCTCAGCAACAAATACTTCACCACCATTCCTCACGTGTTCGGGCGCAATAGACCCCCTGTTCTCACTCATGGTGATCTGTTGAAAAGGGAGATTGAGCTGCTGGAGACGTTGACAGATATGGAGGTCGCGAACAATATCATGAAGGACGCCGAGGACGCGGAAATGATCCACCAGCTTGATCGCCAGTTCCAGGGCTTAGGAATGAATGAGATGACACCATGTAGGTTCAGCACCCAAATTGAGAGTTGACAATTACTGACAATATCCAGTGATTCGTTCCTCAGCCGAGTTCCAAGAGCTAGAAACCTATCTTGTGTGTTCGCGTGGTGCATCTCACAGTGTCGGCCTTAAGGTGAGCTTCAGACATGTCATACCGAAGCAAGCCCACGCTAATCTCCCCCCACAGGTCCTCAACATCTTCCGCATCGAGCGCCAAGGCGAGAATGACCGCTTCAACTCCTCCCGCTTCTCCAAGATCAAGAATAGCGACCGCCGCCTCCTGTGGCATGGATCGCGCAGCACCAACTTCGGTGGTATCCTGAGCCAGGGCCTGCGCATCGCGCCCCCCGAAGCCCCCGTCAACGGATACATGTTCGGCAAGGGTGTCTACCTGGCTGATATGTCGAGCAAGTCGGCCAACTACTGCTGCGCCTACGGTAGTGGCAACAAAGGTCTATTGCTGCTGTGCGATGCGGAGCTGGGTGACCCCATGCTCGAGCTGGAGCACAGCAACTTCAACGCGGGCGAGGACGCGGCGAAGCAGAACAAAATCGCCACCCTAGGTCGGGGCCGCTCGATCCCCGCGGGCTGGAAGGATGCGGGCTGCGTCCATCCCAACCTGGCCGGGGTCAAGATGCCGGACACGGCGCACGGGGCGGCGGTTCGGAATGCGGCGTCGCTCATGTACAACGAGTACATTGTGTATGATGTCGCACAGATCCGGCAGCGGTATCTTTTCCATGTGGATATGCGGTAGGCGGGGGGGGGGGCAGCGTTTATGGGTCTGGATGATTACTTCGGCGCAATGGTATGATGGTATTAGCGGGGCGCAAGGCATCTAGTAGTAGTTGCTTAATGGGTGTTTCAACGATGGGTATTTCAATTCGATCCGCGCATGTTCGTGCTATTAGCATTATGTTGTATTTTAGTTGACGAATCTCTTTTTCTCTTATTCAATCTCTCGCAGCTAGATGAGGCAGACAGTAATGACATTCCTGGTGAAGTTTGGGGAGGCCAGTGGCCGGACAGAGGGCTGAAAAAGACCGATAACTTCGGCATGCCCTACTTGCATGTCTATGATTTCTATCTGGGAGCTGGGCTATCCAGGCAACAAGTCAAGAGAAGTCAACTACAGACTACACCCTCGGATTCCTACTCGGTCAAAGCCTCCAAGATGACAGCAACACCGCCACAGCAACAGTAGCCGCAACGGTATGCATGTCACGGGAGACGTCCTCCCAGTACAACCTCCCAACCATACTAACATTCACTCACCAGTCACCACACTACCCTATGGGAAGTTACCAGGAAAGCGGAATCACATGGACCTAGCAACGGCAGACTGGAAGAACGATGGGGGATCGGGGATCTTGGATCCGCGGGTGTTTTCCGTCTGGCTCGGTGCGGATCGGTGAGTATTCACTTTCATTTTCACTTTCACCCCCTTGGTCAACTTCTTTGTTGTCCACTGCTGAAGCAAACTTTGTTTAGCTTTTCCTCAAAAACCATTTCTCTGCCTTCTCAACATTTGGGAACGAGATTGAACAGCATCGAACTTCACTTTTACCTCTTAAATTGAGCAGAGGACTTGGAGCTGTACTCAGAACCCGGAATTGAGGGAACATCAGGTGCAGTACTCACTACGCAGGATTCAGAGTCGAGTCATCCAGGTACTGTACAGCGCTCACCCCCAGATTAACTAAATCGAATACATATACGAACTAACATAACGATTTAGGCGTCAACCAAGCCACCAACATACGCAACCTCCCCCCCACAACAGCCATGTTGTTCGCTCGCATCGTGCACTTTCTCACCCAGGCGTCTACGCTTCGCCGTTGCCCCCAGCCTCAACCCTGCGAGAGTCTCACTCTCCAAGCCAGCAGCATCCCCGGCATCGAGATCCTCTCTCTCACCAGCCACGAAGTCCACGACTACCAGTCCCCTTACACCCAAGGCCAGAAGCTCGACTTCTGCGACGTGACGGTCACCCTCACCCACCCCAACGAATCCGACCTGGTCCAGCTCTCCGTCTGGCTGCCCTTCTCCCCCGCGTGGAATGGCCGCTTCCTGGCGACGGGCGGCGGCGGCCTGGCAACCGGATACATCGGGTACACGCAGCCCGCGGCCGTGATCCAGGGCTACGCTGCCGCGGCCACGGAGGGCGGATTAACGCTGAACAACACCATTGACCCGCAGACGGGGCAGTGGGGGCTACGTCCGGACGGCACGATCAACACCGCGCTGCTGACCAATTACGCCCACCGCTCCGTCCACGATCTCGCCCTGCTGGGCAAAGCCCTCACCACCGCGTTCTACGGCACCGCGCCGCGCTTCTCCTACTGGACCGGCTGCTCCACGGGCGGACGCCAGGGGTTCGTCGCCGCCGCGCTGTACCCCGAGGACTACGATGGGATCCTGGCCGCGAGCCCCGGCATCGACCTGCCCGAGATGTTCGCGTGGCTGTTCTGGCCGCCGGCGCTGATGCTGAACGCCTCGGCCCCGCCGCCCCCGCAGTGCGTGTTCTCCATGTTTCAGCGGAGCATCATCGAGGCGTGCGACGGGCTCGACGGGGCGGAGGACGGGCTGATCTCCGGCTGGGGCCACTGTCCCTTCGACGCGAGTGTGCTGGTGAACACAACGATTCCCTGCACGGAGACCAACACGACCATCGCAATCACCGAGCAGCATGCCGGCCTCGTGCAGGCCATCCTGGACGGCCCCGTCGACCCGGCCACCGGCGACATTCTCTGGTACGGCCTCCCGCCCGGGGCATCCTTCCGCGGCACCGCCGATACCATCACCACTCCATTCCCGATCAACACCACCACCACCACCGACGGGTCCCACCCCACAACAACGCGGATCAACCCCTTCCTCCCCGCCGTCAGCTGGCTGCGCAGCTTCCTCCTCAAGAACCCCACCTACAACGTCTCCACGCTCACCATCCCCCAGTTCTTCGACGCGGTGCACGCCTCGCGCGAGCGGTTCGGGGATCTCCTGTCCAAAGAGCAGCTCGGGCTTGAGGGCTTCCAGCAGGCGGGCGGGAAGCTGCTGGCGTGGCACGGGCTGGCGGACGAGATCGTGCCGCCGGCGGGGACGGTCAAGTACCGGGAGACGGTGGGGGAGGGGTTTGGCGAGCACAATATCGAGGTGGAGGATTTCTTTCGACTATTTCTGGCCCCCGGGGCCGGCCACTGTGGCGGCAATCTGGGCGTCGGGTATGGGCCGGTGCCTGTGGATGCGTTGGGGGCGTTGGTGCGCTGGGTCGAGGATGCGGTCGAGCCGGAGACGTTGTTTGCCGAGGTCCGGGGGGGGTGGGAGGCGGGTTAGTCGCGAGTTGTGCTTGTGGCCGGGGGTGTTGCGTTGGGATGGGGAGGGGGGGTTGGATTTGGCGGGGAGTTTTGGGTGTGAGGAGTAGGTGGACGGTTGAGGGGAGGTGGTGCGAGGGGATTTTGGCGGGGTTGGGCGAGGGAGGTGTTGATACCAACCAGGTGGTGGTCTGAGGGTTAGCTGAGGGATGAGTGGCTGAGTGGCTGAGCAAGATATGGAGGGCATCTGTTTCTGTATGATGAAGATATTCGGCCTGGGTTCTATACCAAATAGCATACGCTTTTGGTTCAGCCGTCGATCAGATCCCTACCTAGTAAGCATGTTTAAGCTGCTTCACCAGTCAAGGGAAGAGACTCTTGCGAAGACAATGGATTTATTCTATTGGTCGAGCTGGTACACATATGGTGATCGGATCTGCTGCTGAGCTACAGACATGGGATGGGTCAGGTGAGCTGATGGTGGAGAGATATAGGATAGGGATAGGGATTGGGATTGGGATTGTGGGTGGTGGTAGATCGATGGGATCCATCGTTCCGTCTGTATCAGAAAGTGAATGCGGTGATCCTGCCTTTCTCTATGGTCTTTCTTATTTCCTGCCTGGATTTGCCACATACAACTTCTCCAATTGCTGGGTTGCACATGTTCTGCACCACAGTCAGTCAGCCCCCGATGGATATCTCTACATTCACCCTAACTTTCTGGTTCACGAACAAAGGCAGGATGCAATAAACAACGAGGGCGAGGTCCTATGTACTGCACGCAGAGCTCTAGAGTCTGGCAATCGGAACACCACAGTAAGCTATAAGATGTCTGGGGATGGTGTTTGACGTAGACCGCACTCCTGTCTTGGGCAACATCTCCCACAAAAACTTGTGCAGGGTCATTCCGGGGGTCTCCGGCTCCAGCTTACAGACGTTGGACAAAGAACGACTGCTGACAGGGTCCACAGCTGGAAGTTAAATGTATGCAAGCGGAAGCAAGACCGTCACAGTACGCATGGATCATCTTTTTAACTCTATTCCAGCGATGCTGACATATGAGCAGAAAGGGTTGCTGCGGGGCATAAATGCTGATGCGGGGCAATCCGCACGCTAACCCGCAGACCCATGGACAACGCCTGAGATACGATATGCTCCTCCCGTCAGCTTACGCCAACCCATGGATGCGTCGCAGCCACTGTCTCATCATTGGTACCCTTATCATCGCAGAGAATAAATATAAAGGTGACAGCGATCGCCATCCAGTAACCCGTCGCTTGGATAGTACTTTGGACTAACAAGCAAGTCTCATCATGGATCCTGAACTCCCCAAAGTCTGCTTTGACCTTGTTATCGTCGGAGCAGGAGTTGCTGGTAATCCCCCTCCCAGATAATCAGGGAACCTCTGGAGTAACTCAGTCACAGGTTGCGTCCTCGCGAGCCGCATCTCGCATGCACGCCCCCACCTCCGCATCCTCCTCCTCGAGGCCGGGGTCGACAAGGACGACCGCGTGCTCCCCACCCTGGGCATCATGGGGGGCTTCGACTCGACCCTCGAGTGGAACTACCGGTCGGTGCCCCAGGCCCGGGGCTTTGGAGGCGAAGTCGTCAACCTCACGTCCGGCAAGATCGTGGGCGGCGGCTCCGCGGTGAATTATCAGACCTTCACGCGCGGGCCGGCGGTGGATTAGTACATAACCCCCTTCCCCCTCCCTCTACACAGTTCCCACGGACTGCATACTAACTCCAGGAACGGGGTAGTGACCAATGGGCAGAGCTCGTGCAGGACCCGCGGTGGTCGTGGAGCAGTCTTCTGCCGTACTTCAAAAAGTCGGAGACCTGGTTCCCCTCGGCAGATCTGCGGGAGCGAGGGCTTCCGACCGCCGATGCGCATGGGCAGGATGGTCCGATCAAGGTCTGTTCGTGACTGATGGAGCGCAACTCGAAGATATGGTGGATAATGCTGATCGGCACCAGGTCAGCCATGCCACGAACAGCGGCAGGCCCCGCAACTATCCCCTCCGCGAGAAGAGTCGACGGTTCCACGAGCTGCGCGGGTGCCAGCACGCGCTGGACATCAACGGGGGTCAGCCCGAGGGATACGCGGAGGCGTTCAACTCCACCTACGAGGGGCTGAGAAGCTATGCGGCCGGCTACGTGCTCGGGGCGAACGTTACGCTCTGGACTCAGTCTCTGGTGGAGAAGGTGGTCGTGGATGGGGGCGCGGCGAAAGGAGTGGTCGTCCTGCGGTCTGTGGGCGATGCGCATGAGCGCGTCTACGTCGAGGCAAGCAAAGAAGTCATTCTATCTGCGGGCGCGCAGAGCTCGCCTAAGATCCTGCTTCTGAGGTGGGGCCACCACTCTCACTGATCCTATGTCAAGGCCAGGAGGTATCATACGATACAAGTTAGGGCATGCTGACGGGAGGTACTGTACGTGTAGCGGTATCGGCCCGGCCGCGGAGCTGGCCGCGCACCAGATCCGGCCGGTCGTCGACCTCCCCGTCGGACGCAACTACGCCGACCACCCCGCCATCTTCACCTACTGGGCCATCGACCTCCCGAACGCGGTCCTGGGCGATGGCGAGATGCAGGGGCCCGACCTCGACTGGACCGCCGGGCTGCCCTACGACTGGATCTCCTTTGCGCCTGCGGACCAGGCCACCCGTGAGCTGGCCAGACAAACCCTCCCGGCGGACCGGTACCAGCGCTACTCGGCTGAGGGCAAGCTGCAGGTCGAGGCGTTCACGGTGTAAGCTCTTTCAACCGACCTCCCCCCATCTCTACTGACGGTGATCACGTCACAGCTACACCTCCGTGGACACCTGCACCCGCACCCCCCTCGCACGCGGCTGGCCCGGCAAACGCGTCTTCAGCATCGCCCACATCCTCGTGGACCCGATCTCGCGTGGCACCGTCACCCTGCGCTCCGCCGACCCGGCCGAGCCGCCCATCCTGGACCCCAACCTGCTCGCCTCGCCCGTCGACCGCTCTGCGCTGTACGAGTGCGTGCGGAGCTGTGCGCGCGCGATCCAGGAGGTCGAGGGGCTGCATGCCGTGGAATGGGGGGTCGAGGACGCCCTCTGCGGGGATTGGTCGGATGAAGCCATTGAGAGTCGCGCCCGGAAGATGGGATCGGGCACCGTCTTCCATCCGTCGGGGACTTGCGCGATGGGGCAGGTGGTCGATGGGGATTGCCGGGTGCTGGGGGTCGAGGGGCTGCGGGTGGTTGATGCGGGGGTCATCCCGATTCCGCTGGCGGCGCATTACCAGGCGCCTATGTATGGGGTTGCGGAGCAGGTAGGTGGCTTTGTCTTGGTGTCGTGGTGGTGTTGACTGACTGGTGCTAGGCTGCTGAGCTGATTCTGGGGGATGTGTGAGGGATATGAGGTTCGATGGAGGAGAAAATAGGGAGACGGGTAGAGGATCAATTGAGGGCATATATAGTAGATCTAAGAAGCCAAGCAGTGAATTGAATAATCGGTTGTATCTGGTGTGTTTCACTGCGAAGGGAGAAAGAAAAAGAGAAGAAAAAGGAAAAAAGAAACGACCGAGACGCGACTCGAACGCGCAACCACTGCCACATCCTCAACCGGAAGGCAGCGCGCTACCATTGCGCCACCCGGCCATTGTTGAAGACTGTTGTCACTACGACGTATTCTATACTAATAGCATAATTACGAGCAGCGAGAATTCTACCTCAACTCCCTACCCCAACAGTGCACCAACACGGGCAGTGATGGTTTCTTGGGGCTTTTATTCGAAGATTCTGTATCATCCTCACAGTTCTATGGTGCTTAGTCTCCGTATTCAGGCTGAATTGCCCGACCCACGTGGAGGATCTCACGATATCGAGAAGCGTGACAACCGCATAGGGCATACCGGGACGGGAATATATTTCCAATGACAGCCCAACACAAAAAGACCACAACGGATGACGAAGGTGGCTTCCTCACCACTCAGCCTCAATCAAAAGCCCAAGCATGCTAAGCGACCGAGAAGTACGGACCCCCCCCCCCCGGTGGAGACCATTCTCTCCGGATTCCCCAGAAACAGTGGGGAACTGCCACTCTATCCGGCAAGTATCGTCACTTTCCCCCAAACCCTTCACGAAATTTTCCGATCCGATTCGACTGCAGCCAACAGCCTCTCACCCTGCCCAAATTGTTCGGCCTGTTTGCCGACGGGTCCACTGTCTATACCAGCGCTGACCTTGGCTGCAGGCTGCGATGACGGTGTGGTTGCAGATGAGGAAAGTCATCCGAGCAGAGATTGGACTTGAATGCTACCTTTCGCCCGGAATAGGGCTCTTGACGAGCAATTCTCTGCGCGATATAGACAATGCCCTTCAAACAACAGTTGAGGCTTCACTGTTCCACCGATCAAGCCATGTCGGCAATGCTTCGCCCCACGCAAGTATTCAGATCTGAAATCCCGCCGACATGAAGCTATAAAATGCCGGACAACCCTCGAGTCAAGGTTGAAGACCAAACCAAGGCCACAGCATGACGCGCTCTCATCTCGGCGCACTGGGCGTCCTTGCGACCTCCTTGTCTCTGGGACAAGCTCGCTCCACCTGGTCTTTGGGGAATGGATTCGAACTCGCCTGGCAGTCCGACCTGCACCAGGTCTCCATCCTCCAACACAACCAGACCGTCCTCAACACCGTGCCCGGCCAAAGCTTCCTCAGTGCTAGCGCTGGGAAAGATCAGATTGTCGACTCGAGTGGGAATTTCAAGATCACCAATGTCGACCAGGGCCGCTGTCAGGGCCAGAACATTACCGATGTCGCGCGGTCGACTCAATCGGACAGTCTGGGCCACGGAGTGACGGTGCAAGGCTACCTGCTCAACTGCAGCAACCAAGACATCGCATACTCGAGCAGCTTCTGGGTTCCAGCTAATCTGTCCGATCGGGTCGCCTTCGAAGTGACCATGGATGCAGGCCGCGATGCCAGCGCGCCGATGGAGCGACTCTACCTCACCTTCGGCTCACACCCCTCGGAGGACTTCTATGGCTTGGGAGCCCAGGCCTCCTTTGCCTCGATGAAGAACCAGACCATCCCAATCTTCTCCCGTGAGCAGGGGGTCGGCCGCGGCGACCAGCCCTACACGGCCATCGAGGACTCGCAGAGTTTCTTCAGCGGAGGCGACCGCTACACCACCTACACTTCGATTCCGCAGTACATCAGCTCTGACGGCCACGTCTTCTACCTGTTGGAAGATGACAGCGCGTACGCGGCCTTTGACTTCCGCAACCCCGACAGCGTCACCGTTCGCTACGACGCCCTCACCGTGCATGGACACTTCATGAAGGCGGACAGCATGCTGGAGGGCATCACCATGCTCACCGAATACACGGGGCGGATGCCCTCGTTGCCCGACTGGGTGGACCAGGGCGCTGTCCTGGGCATCCAAGGCGGCCAGGACAAAGTGAACCGCATCGTCGAAGAAGGGCTCCAGCACGACTGCCCCATCGCGGCGGTCTGGCTGCAAGACTGGTAAGTCTACCTCGCGAGCCCATATAACCATTCCACCCCTCCACTAACAACACTCCCTTCATCCCAGGTCCGGCACGCACCTCCAATCCGCGCCCTACGGCCAGATCAACATCTCGCGCCTGTGGTGGAACTGGGAACCAGACACGAGCCTGTACCCGACGTGGAGCGAGTTCGTGCAGGACCTGCGCAGCGAGCACAACGTGCGCACCCTCGCCTACGTCAACCCCTTCCTGGCCAACGTGAGCAGCAAATCCGACGGCTACCGCCGCAACCTCTTCCTCGAAGCCACCCAACACCATTACACCGTGCAAAACACGACGACCAACACGACGGCCATCATCTCCAGCGGCAAGGGCATCGACGCAGGCATCCTGGACCTGACCAACCCGGCCACGCGGCAGTGGTTCGCCGCCGTGCTGCGTGACCAGGTCTGGAGCGCCAACATCTCCGGCTGCATGTGGGATTTCGGCGAGTACACGCCGATCACGTCCGACACGCGCCTCGCCCATCTGGCCCCCGGCGAGGACGCATTCCGCTACCACAACCGCTACCCGCGCGACTGGGCGGCCTTCCAGCGCGCGGTGGCGGCCACCACGCCCCTCGCCGCGGAGATGGTCACCTTCCACCGGTCGGCCTCCATGGGCGCCAACCGCCACATGAACCTCTTCTGGGCGGGCGACCAGGCCATCACCTGGACCCGCAACGACGGCATCAAGTCCGCCGTCACGATCCTGGGCCAGATGGGCATCTCGGGCTACGCGCACAGCCACTCGGATATCGGCGGGTACACCACCATCTTCGAGCCCCCGCACGCATCCAACTCCTCGGGTGCGATCTCCCGGTCCCCGGAGCTGCTGGGCCGATGGGGCGAACTCGCCGCCGTCAGCAGCGCGTTCTTCCGGTCCCACGAGGGCAACGTCCCCCAGGTCAACGCGCAGTTCTACAGCAATGCCTCCACCTATGCGTATTTTGCGTACAACGCAAGGATGTTCAAGGCGCTGGGTCCCTACCGCAGACGTGTGCTGCGGACGGAGTCCGAGACGAAGGGGTGGCCGCTGCTGAGGATGCCGGTGCTGTATCACCCGGAGGATGCGCGGGCGCGGCAGATCAGCTACGAGAGTTTCTTTCTGGGGAGGGATCTGTATGTGGCGCCCGTGCTGGATGAGGGGCAGCGCGAGGTGGAGGTGTATTTGCCCGGAGGGGAGGCCCGTCGCTCGTATCTGCATGTGTGGTCTGGGGTCAGGTACCCGGCGGGCCAGACGGTGACGGTGCAGGCGCCGTTGGGCAAGCCGGCGGTGTTTGTGGTCGATGGGGCCAGTAGTCCTGAGTTGGATGTGTTTTGGGAGTTTGTGAGGAGGGAGAATGGGACGGTGCTGGGGGTTTGATTAGGTTGACTTGCTGGAGAAGGAGGTGCTGTACTGTATGATAGGTAGATGGGGGGTGTTCTGGACTGAGTGGTCGAATTGGACTGTAGGTTAGGCATGTTAGGGCTTTCTTCACCGCTGCCCATTTATCGCCACAATGGATGGGGGATTGAGCATGCGGTTTTGTCGATGGAACTCATTCTTATTCCTGTTCCGACTTAATTTCCATATGTCAACGTTTCTTTGTATCATTTTGCAAGTATCGTATTCAACTGATTGAGTAGGGACTCGCATTGTTGGATGTATTATGGAAGTCACTTCCGACTATTCCACCTAAGACGTCATCACTAACATGCTAGCACATAACTTCGAGGTCAGGCCTACTTATAGCTCAAGCGAAAGAAGTAAGAATAGAACAAATGCTACTCCGTACCACGGCCTGGAATCCTTTTGACTGCCGCTGAGCAGGAGTAAAGTCGCATCTAAGGGGGCCACTCGCCATGGAGGCGGAGGGTGGGGTCACTGGGGTGTGACCTGTTCTAGACCCCCGACAAACGCTTCAATGCGGTCATAGTGCATTGCCATCGCATGGCACTGGGCATCTGGAGACTTTGTAACCAACCAGTCCTGCTCTCCAGCCTCGTGGATCTATCAACAAATGTCCGCTAAGTCAATCCGTCCAATGAGAGACGGCCACATACAAGAGCCAGACTAGTAAGTTAATCGATACGATACTAGCCCCAAACACATCATATCAGCTCTATCCAAAGCCGGTCTCGTAGCGAAGACATTCTCTAGACTCCTCCAGGACAAACTGGTACAGTACCCAGAACCTAGCCAAGTTGACTAGGACAATGCCGGTAAAACCCGCGAAGCTAACCCCACATCTTGTTATTAGTGAAGCCAATGCTCCGAATTCCTGGTCCCATCTATCTTACTAAAAACTGTTTGCTCCGCTGGCTCAAATGATGCCCCCCGACCAGCCCGATGAGACATGGATCGACGTAGATGACTCTCACCCCGAGGACTACCCTAGCGATAGCCACTCCTTTACTACCTCCCTCGCCTCCTCCGTCCAAGACTACAGTTTCGAGAACGGCCGCCGCTACCATGCCTACCGGGAAGGCGAATACCCCTTCCCCAACGATGAAGCCGAGCAGGACCGCCTCGACATGGTGCACTACATCTTCCGCATGGCCTTGCAGGGGAAGCTCTACCAAGCACCGTTGCGCGGCCCCATTCGCCGCATCCTCGACCTCGGCACGGGCACGGGGATCTGGGCCATCGAGATCGCCGACGAGATGCCGCAGGCCCGCGTGCTGGGGAATGATCTGAGCCCGATCCAACCTACCTGGTTCGCTGCCGACGCCGCCGCACTGCTAGAATCCTTGTGTATTTGTGTATTAACCAAGCCGATGTGCCCTTCATATCCAGTGTCCCCCCCAACCTAGACTTCATCATCGACGACATCGAAGCCCCCTGGCCCTACTCCCCCGCCGAGGCGCTCGACTTCATTCACCAGCGCAACATGGTTGGCTCCATCGCCGACTGGAACGGTCTCTTCGCCCAGGCGCACCAGCACCTCGTGCCCGGCGGATACTACGAGATCCAAGAGTTCCGGGTCGACTTCCAGTCCCAGGCGCGAGGCGGGCCCACTCTGGCCGAGACCTCCAGCATCGCGCGGTGGCAGCGGTCCCTTCAAGAGGCGTCGAGCCGCTTCGGCAAGCCCATCAACGTCGTGCACACGCTGGCCGACACGCTGCGCCGCAACGCCTTCGTCGACGTCACCGAGGAGATTATCAAGATCCCTATTGGCGCGTGGGCCCGCGACCCCAAGCTCAAGCGGCTCGGGGTGCTCATGCAGGGCCACGCGATCGACTCGGTCGAGCCCCTGACCATGGCGCTTTTTACGCGGGTGCTGGGCTGGTCGGAGGCTGAGTGTCGCGCGCTGATCGCCGAGGTGCAGGCGGAGTTCTCGGCCAGTCCGGAGCGGCGGCAGTTGTTTGTCGAGTTGCATGTCATTCATGGACGGACGCCGTGTTCGGGGGTGTGATGCTGCGGGGACTGTGGTTGTAGCCAGGGGATCCTTTGCTGAATTGCGGTTGTGTGGCGACGGTCCTGTCAAGGGTGGTCTCACCCTGGTGTGAGACGCATGGTGATTTAGCCTGTTGTCGATGTCCCAGACAATGCAGGGCCTACAGGCTGATTTCGCGCGGGGTGAAGCGGGGTGATTGCTGCAGGTGCCTTCTTGGCATCGCTATACACGTATGGAATTGGTTCTCCGCATCAATCAGCAATTATCCATGGGATAATCGTTGCAACGCCCTACCTAGTAGACTAGCTGTTGGCAGTCATCCACCGAGGGCTGTACCCTCCCTCCCTGCTCTCGCCAACTGGCGTATACACATCCCAGACCTCAAGCATCCACAAACACCCCAGCATCAATCTCCTGCGCCACCGGCACATACGTCCAATCACTCCAATACGACGGCGTCTCCCCAGGCCCCCCATTGCCCGTCGCATACACCCCCAACAGCGTCCCTAGACAACAATTAGCCCAACCCCACCCCCACATCACCAGAGACAAGTAACAACTCACCCGTAAACGGCCCACTCCCCCCACTCAGGATCTCCGCACTCGCCCTGCCCAGCACGATCTCGCTCCCCAAGTTCCCCACCAGCGCCGCAGACAGCACATACCCAGCATCATCCGGTGCGCGCACCCGCAGCACAATCCCCCGACCATACCACGCGACCGGAACCGCAGCGACGACCGTCGCAGGAGCAATCAGATCCGGCCGGCCGGACGCTTCCACCCGCAACCGCAAATGCGGCGCCAGCCTCCCGTGGGGATCACGCAGAAGCACCACGCCCAGATCGACGTGTTGGGTCTGGGTCAGGAAGACGGATATGCCAGCTTCTTCTGCCTCGACGCTGGGGTGGAAGTGGAGCGTCACCGCGTACTCGAAGACCGTGCTCGTTTGTATGCGGCCGAGGAAGGCGAGTTCGTCTTGTCCGGGGGTGAATGATGCGTTGCCGGTCAGGTTCGCCCACGACGGGGTGATGCGCAGCGTGTGCGGATGGCCTGGTGGCGAGATTGTGAACCGCGACCGGGCCTGGATCGGGGGCCGCCACGTCTGTACGGTCCGGGGCAGGACGGACCCCGGCGCGAAGTCCAGTTTCTCGCTCTCGTCCACAAAGGCACCCTGGCCTTGCACGGCTCGTGAGGGAGGAGGTAGCGGTCCGCGCATCGCGCCCCGGACCGGTTGGAGCTGCGGCCAGGCGCCCTCCTCCCACTGCGCGGGGTAGAGTACCGTCTCGCGCCCCATGGGGTAGAGCTCCCACGCGGGTCCGGATCGCGTGGCCAGTGCCACCCCCCACCAGTTCCCGGTTTGGTCCTGGAAGAGGTCCGCGTGGCCGACGGTCTGGAAGTACTCGCTGGTGTTCCTGTTGGTGAGGATCGGGTTGGCGGGACAGGGCTCGTACGGTCCCGTGACGCTCTTGGACCGCGCGATGGAGACTTGGTGGCTCGTGCCGGTGCCGCCCTCGGCGATGAGCAGGTAGTACCATCCGTCCTTGCGGTAGAGGTGGGGTCCCTCGGGCCAGATGTTCTCCGTGCCGTTCCAGAGGTAGGTCCAGGACGTGGCCGTCCAGTCGGGGAGGGTGACGGGGGACTGGAAGATGAGCGGCGTGGTGGAGTGGTTGTACCCCGCGATGGTGAGGTAGAGTCGGTCGTTGTCGGCGGCGTCCCAGAACAGGTCCGGGTCGTAGCCGGAGAGGGTCGTGGTGACGGTGATCGGCTCGCTCCAGGCCGCGTCTGTGTAGGGGTCTGTGGTGGCGAAGACGAGGAATTCGCTGCCGTTGGGCACGGCGGCCGAGATCAGCGCCGTGGTCAGGTAGAGCGTGCCTTTGTGGAAGCGCAGGGTCGAGGCGTAGATCCCCTCGGACTGGCCGGTGGCGTTGCGTAGGAATGGCGCCTGGGACGGGCGGGACAGTGCGTGGCTGACCAGCTTCCAGTGAATGAGGTCCTTGCTGGCGTAGATGGGGATCCCCGGGAAGGCGAGGAAGGTCGAGGTCGTGCAGAAGAAGGTCTCATCCCAGGCGGCGATGAAGGCGCAGCTCGGGTCGGAATGCCATCCTGGGAGGATCGGGTTGGCGTAGTTGGTCTGGCGGGTTGCGGCGACGAGGTGGAAGAGTAGCGCATCCACTAAATAAATTAGAAACTGCATTCTGTTGTTCGGGGGTCTGAGATGGTCGAGGTGGGTAATGTAGTAGAGCTGGGCTGTTTAAGTATCTACTGATTTAGCCTGAACTCGTGCATGTTGGCAGGGATTGACAAGTAGACATGACACACTGTGACGATCGCTGAAGACGATTTAGGCTTAATTTGGAGAGGTTTGAGGATAGAAGACTGTCGAGGATACTACATAGAACATGCGCCGGACATCCATGATACGTCGCAGACTTTACCTCACCCAACCCTAATCCAGCTCTTTTCCCCTTGCCCCGATCTCACTGGGGAATTCTGACCACAGCCCTCCCCGTAATGGCATCTTCCTCAAGATCTCGGATTATCTTCGCTGTCTCATCGAACCCATAACACTTCACCGCAGGCGTGATAACCCCCTGAGCAGCCAGCTGCAACAGCTCCGCCATCTGCTCCTCCGTCCCCACAGAGCTGCCAACAATGGAGATCCCTACCAGCACAGATCAGCCTCCTGGTCCGAGTACCAGCATACTGCCTTCAAGGGAAGCAACATACCTCTAGCCGCACACAGCGTCGCCGAAACCGGCAACTCGAAATCATTCCTCGGCAGCCCGACACACACCACCGTCCCCAGATTCCTGACCAAGTCCGCCGCCACCCTGAACGCGGACGGATCCCCTGGAACGACCACCGTGGCATGCGCCCCTTCCCCGTCCGTCAGCTCCCTCACGCGCGCCACCACATCCTCCGCCCGGAAATCCACAAACTCCGTCGCACCAGCCTCCATACTCAGCCGTCTCTTCTCCTCCCCAGAGTCCACCGCAAGGACCCTCCACCCCTTCACGCGGGCCGCGATCTGCACCCCCAGATGGCCCAGCCCGCCCCCGGACCCCGAAATCACCACCGAATCCCCAGGCCGCAGCACGCCGTCCAGCCGGTCCAACGCCCCAGCCATCGTCAGCCCTGCGCACAGCAACGGGGCGGCGATCTCGTCGGTCACGGTCTCTGGAATGGGGGTCAGGAACCGTGCGTCAGCGAGGACGTACTGCTGCAACGTGCCGGGGACGTGGCGGCTGGTGTTGCGCTGGTGCGGACAGTAGTGCGGGTGGCCGGACGTGCAGATGGAGCAGTGCGTGCAGGCGCTGTAGAGCCATTTCACCCCGACCCGGGAGGAGAGTAAGGACTGCGGGGCGAGGGAGCCGGTCTGGATGACGGTGCCGATGCCCTCGTGGCCGATGATGGGGTTGTAGTTGCCCCAGCCGGAGGTGGCGCGGATTTCGGAGTGACTGGATAGCCGTCAGTATCCGGGGGTGTTTTATATTCAACTGAATGGGGGGGGGGCGAGATGCAGAGGGGACGAGTAGACGGAGGAAACTTACCACAGACCGGTGCATGTCAGCTTGACGAGGACTTCGTGGTCCCCTGGTTGGGGAACAGGGAGATCATCGCGGTGGATGATCTGGTAGCTCGGGCCCGGGTTGACGACTACGGCGCCCTGCTGGGTAGTGGGGATGGGTACTGTCATTCTGACTATTGTTCAAGGAGTCTTTCAGTCAAGGAATGTGGCAGATGAAAGGGTTCAACTTATACGCTGTGAGGGGCGTCGATGGCGGTGACCCCGCGAGGAAATGTGGCTGCCAAGGATGCCGATTCTCACTCCCGAGATCATTCCATAACCGGAGGTTGCCGAAAGTCTATCGGGGGATGATATTGGGAGGATGACCACGAGTCATTCACTCCTATGAAGAGATGTCACTAAACCGGAATATGGGAGTAGATAGTTAGTGTTGGTGAGATGAGATACGGCCATATAACATCTTGATGCCCGATTGGCAAGGCATCAATCTAAATAAGCATAGCATCCACTGCAAGGTTATCGGCAAAGATAAAGAACTGGTTCTGCTCCCCAGCTAGGACATATCCTGGAACACGGACTCTTTCCTATGAGAGGTTCTCCCACGGCCAGTTTAACTAAGATGCTAGTTCCCAGACCGTGCAGGTAAGGTGATTGCAGCGCAGTGCTCCTAATGTAACCGGTCTGGTCAGATACGTAAAGAAGGTAGCATCTGCAGGCCCTTTCCCCCAATATTCTTAGTTACACACAGATATATCTAGCGCGACCAGAGTTTCAGAACCCGCCCGCAGCGGATCTCTGACGCCCGTGGAGGTGAAGATCGGATGTGACTTCTTTCTCTATGACTTCGTCAGCGATCGCGCCCGCGCAATAGTAAGTGAAGGATGAATAGCACTGACCATAGTTGACGATTTTTATTGTTGCTGATCTATCCGATTCTGCGACATGGAGTTTTGCTCTGCTTTATCAAAGATAAGCATCGGTCATTGGAGGAGGCCAAGGCAGAGAGACACGATGCTTTTGGCGGCGAGGTGGGTAGCGGCCATAACGCCTGGCTCAATTTCCCAGGCTGGAAGTCCATCTTGCTGCTTTTGTTGGTCGAAGGAGGTCATTTTTATCGCCAGAGGTGGATTAGCCTTCAATTCTGGAAGGTTCATTCTTGGAGCTTCGATCTTCTATCGTCTATATCAAGCGACGAATGGAAACTGGAACAAGCCAAGGACTTTTGGGTTGTTGATTATCAGTATCAAAGTATTGATGGAGATAAAACCAGCTATTTTGATGATGAAGGTGGTGATAAGAGATTCAGGTCGAACCATCGAGGAGCGAAGAATGGAAAGAAGAGTGGAAAGGAAAAGACCAACAGGGAAAGATTTGGCTCTTATGACAGGAAGATATAATCGGTGAGTACAATACAAGCTATTATACTCACACCTCAAGAATTGTCCAACATTCACAAGAAGATGTTCACTACTAAGGACTCGGGCAGTGTGAATACTCTGATTATTCACAGAGCTGCGCATATCCGCTCCCTAGATATTGGCCCAGACCTTAAGATCAGCGAGCATATAGATATATGCAATATTCTTGACATATGCAAGATTTTAACCGGCCCCCGGCTTATTCACCGCGGTTTGTGGCCCACCAGATGAAAAGAAGACGTATAGTACCTTGCAAATCGGCACCCAGCGGGCAAAAACGGGAGAAGAGTTCCGCTTGCAGTACATTATTGATCCATGAGACTATGAGAACTCCGCTCGGTGACTCAAAGCAACTCTACAGCCATTGTATCACTAGAACAATCAAGTGCCTGTATATCACGTAGATCATATACAATGACCGGAATTTTCCCGTCAATCATAACGCCCTGACTCCGCGCTCTGAGAACAGTGAACTCTATAAATACACCCACGGTGTTTTGTACCATCCTATGGCACAACTACAACCCCAACTCATCTGACTTCCCACGGGCAACCAACCAACCAACCAACCAACCAGCAAACCCAACGTACGCATCATGTCCACCCCACAAGACACCCACGGCGTCAGTGCTTTCTGGCGGGACACCGAACCGCCCACCTGCCGCATGCAAATCCTCTCCCTCATCGAGGACATTCCCTCCGCCACGGACCTCGTGGAGAATCCCCGCTTCCGCAACTTCATCTACGTCTGGATGCAGCGCGCGCGCGCCGACTCGCTCCCGCCCACCCGCCTGTACGGGATCATCATCTGCGGCGACCGGGTACGGCTGTACACTGAATTCCCCCGGGGCCACGAGCACCACGAGACCGGGATGCTGCAGTTTCAGTATCAGGGACGTGAGGTGTTCTCCTCACACAGGGACGAGGCGGTGTTCCGCGAGTTCATAGACGTGGTACAGGCACTGCGGTACGAGGACATAGAGCAGGGGCAGGTGGATCGGGCGTACGCAAAGATCCGGAGGGGGGAGCTGCCACCCCCGGAGGAACGGGCGACGCCGGCGAATCGAGGGCCCTGGACGATTCATAACACCTCGGACCCCGCAGGAGGCGGACGGGCATCATATCATGAATGTGACGTTAAGAGATCTGGATTATGCCGCCCCTGTGGTGTGGAAGGTGAATGTTACTGACAGGGGGAAGGTGATGTGGGGTCCTAAGCGCGGTAGACGCTGAGTAGATATGCAGGGGTTCCGATGGGCTAGAGTATAATACAAAGTAAACCAAATCTCGATTGACGGAGGTGCTTCTCCGTCTTCTTTGTTTTGTTGCCCAGTACTATCTCGTTGTTGTTGTGCCTTCGTCAGTAATTTTGTCGGTAACTTAGTCGATCCTGCTTGTTTGCTATCGCAAAGCGCCGAATCTGGCTACGGCCGTTAGGGTATCCAGTTTCATTGCCCCTCTCCCAGTATCAATTCAAGTGAATTCATCTTTCCCACTTCTAGTATCCGGCACAGGCTCAAATTTCTCATGGGTCTAAACAGCAGCAATAAGCTCAATCTCAACCTCTGCATCTAACGGAAGACTCGCCACGCGCACACACGTACGGCACTAGGACCCCCGATTGTTAACAATAAGCCCACGCAGCAACCCGACCACAACGATGAAAACGAGAGGAAAAGCTCACCGGCTTGCCATCGTACTCCCCAAAGACCCTCGAATACCCTTCGTTCACCTTGGCATAATGAGTCATACTGGAGATGAAGATCGTGACCTTGACGACTTTGCTCAGGTCGCTCCCGCCGGCGAGGAGAACCTGTTCCAGATTGCGCAAAGCTTGGACCTGCGTTGCGGGGTGCATTAGACCAATGATCAAGTCACTGCACTAGACAGCACGTACGGTTCGGTCAGCCACATCGCCTGGGACGAAGGTGTTGGTCTTGGGGTCGATGCCTAGACTACCGGAGCAATAGAGCATGCCGTTGGAGATGATGCCTTGCGACATCAACGGGCTCGGGGCAGGAGCGTGTTGGCTCAGGACGGGGATTTTGGTGGGGGACATGGTGAGCTGTCGGAGTGATTGATTTAAGTCAGAGTTGAGGAATCTTAGAGGATAGACGCCCATTTGGAACCCGCTGAGGCTATCATTTATGTGGAATGCGCGCGGGGGGTTGGCGTGGGATGAGTTTCTTTTTGCTGGATGGATAGCGGACTGATGAGGCAAGCCATCCCGGTGGAGGGCGAGCCAGCCCTATCCTAGTCCTGTTCGCTGTTCCTAGCAGGAGACACACGCATCCTTTCCAATTTGTGATATACTGAGCATTGCTTTAAGCCATGTCTCAGGCTGGTTTGGGGCTTCCTACGAACTGATATCGGATCCATGAGGTGCTTCAACTGGGAATGACAACTGGCGGGCTGCGACCGGCGAGATTCTTCAACGTTTGCAGGAGTGGGGCGGCATAGGATGGTACTGTACGGTAGATATGTCGATAACACCCACAATGGGTACAGTACGACCATTATATATCAAGTCTACCTCTCCAAGGACTTATCAATAGAGTGGGGTGCTATTGATGTGGTTGCAGAGACACCATGGACCGGTCGCACGGGGGCCGGGCCTTTAGGAAGGGCATGGCAAGACTTTCCCGCATAACCGCTGTCAGCTTCACTTCATCCTCCTCAACAGTGGGGTAGGCAGGCATATTCCTTCTTTTGCCAAGGCAATCTGGTCTTCAAGGCTCGAGTGATTGCGTTTCGCAAATCATCATACTCCCAGAAGCTACATTATGCGACCGCTGCATTTACTCTCAGCCAACGCAGCGCAACCTCAAAGCGCAATTTTCTACAGACAGTTTGGCCCTTCATGGCATTAAGAGGCCAGCAGTAGTCCAAGCCATCACAGAGATGAGCGACATGGTGAGAGAAGTCCCAGCAATATTGCGATCGACGAGTGACAATCTTACACTGGCCGCTGTCGCCTGTCCAGCCAACCCTCGAAGATCGGTGTCGCCTACCTGGCAATAGTTCATCATGAATTTAGAATCTCATTGCTCGTGATAAGGTCGCGAGTCTCGTATTCGAAATGAAGAGATCTCGGACTTGAGCATACGACTCGCTTGGATAGTGTGGTCGGGGCCAGCCGGGCCTTGACTGTAGAGTGATTAAAGCGTAGATAGGCTCCTTTGCAGTCTGATTAGGGTTAATTTAGAATGAAGTACCCTGGCTGCAAAAGCTCTCATCCGTGAAGGACCGACCTCCGTCTTGTTCTGACTAGCCCGGCCTCCGAAGCATCATAATCTCATTCTCTCGATAGTAGCCACCGATACTAGTTGAACCTGCGTTGGATTGTATTATAAATCATACACGTTATCGCCAAGTTGTGCCTGCAATCCCGACGGCCGATGGTGATAGCCGGACTAGTCTCCGACGGCTCAGGACGGTTGACACTCGGAGGCAATGTCCTTCTTCGACCGTATCAGGATCATTCGCACTCGGGCATAAGTGTTCTAAAGCCGAGTTAGACTCGCCCGAAGTCTGGGGGATTTGCGTCACTACGCAGACAGGCCGAGCATCTTGAGGTTTTAGACGTATTGAGGTGTCATGAGATGGGGGAGTGCGTGGACATGGAGAAGATGTCATCACCACCGCGGCATGATCTCTAGGCAACCACCAGTGAGGGACATGGGATTGGAAGAAGGACCCTCGGGGCTGGAGGAAAAGCCCAGTGACTGGCCTCTCTTGGCGGCGTGGGGCCTATTAACTGATACTATATAAGGTAGTGTATGTTGTATGTCGGAGGTCGGAGTTTCTGCCTCTTTCATCACCGATCCTCCCGCTATCTCTAAGTCTTCGAACTTCAAACAGTCTTCGACCCTGAATCCCGACGGTTTCCCGCAAACGGGCTCCCACCGAGGCGGGTCGGAGCGCAAATCCCTTCCTTTCTAGTGGGCTGGTGGGTTTGGGCCAGCCAGGTCCCTACCATAATTTCACTTCTTGGTTTGTCTCTTGCCCATTATTCGGGTGTTAACTGATCTTGCCCCGGTTTGCCCAGCCTTGCAGGTGGACCATTCGGGGAGGAGAGGGAAGAAAAAATCAAATCAAATGAAAATGAAAATAACAATAAGAGGCAAAAAGAGTAAGAGAAACGTCATCACTCTGTGACTGGCGGTGAAGTCATTCGTATCTCTGACATCTCTAACGTTGGAGCCATATCTCCCGGTTGGTGAGACACCTGATACACATGGCGATACTGCTAGCCAAGCCTCGCTTCGAGTGCTTCTCTCGCACTCTCTGCTAATCTCAGACATGTGGTAGCATTAAGCGATCCCACGACGGCAATGCCAGATTGCCCATTGATTAATACGAGCTGTTATCGTGACTGCCAAGGGCCAGCCAAGAAGGCTGATGCCTTGCCAAGTCGGAGATAGAAGGACGATCGTCATCCGCAACACACAAATCAAGAAATCCTGCCCCGGATGCTTGTCGATCTTGATCTGTGACAGTGAAGAGAAGGTCGGGGGTCGGAGGGAAGCCTTTCATGCCAAGCATGCACGTTCACCCTCGCCTTCGTGCACTGGCGGATGAATCCTAATCCTGCAATTCGAATTCGTGGGCTATGATGGGCTGCCTCCTCGATTAATGAGATGGGCTACGTCGTCAGCTCGAGCAGAAAGATTATTTGATGCCGCTCCGAGATACCTCCTTCTCGACGGCCACCACCGCTATATAAGGAGCGGGTCGTCTTCCCCTGGATACTCCTGACGATCTCTGCAAGTAACCTGTTCCCCCTCTCCCTCTTTCTCACTGCAAGGACAAAATGCGCCTTCCCAGTGCCGTTGCATTGACAGCCCTGGTGGCCGGGTCAGCCGCCGCCTCTGGTTGTCCCTATGCAGCACGCGCCAACAATGAGGCTGCTGCTGCTCCTGTTGGATGCCCCTATGCCAGACGTGCGGCCGCCGCTGCCGCTGCCGCTCAAGTCAAGGAGACTTCTGTCGAGACTCAGAGTGCAGCCATTGAGGGCAAGAAGGGTATATTCTACAGTAAGTGCTGCTGACAGTTCATCCTTCTGGTGGACCGAGCCACGCCGCTAATGCAACCTACCAGTGAACCGTATCGGACCTTCGGGCTCGCAGCTCTGGATCGCCAATGCGGACGGTACCAACGCAACCCAGCTTCTGGGCAACCAGACACATGCCTTTGACTACCATCCTTCCTGGTCCCAGGACGGCCAATGGATTGTCTTCACTAGCGAACGTCGCGGTGCGGGCCAGTCGGACCTGTACCGGGTGCACCCTGACGGCACTGGGCTCGAACTCCTTGTGGCGACGGACAGTGCTGAGGACATTGGTGTTCTATCACCCAATGGCAAACAGCTGGCCTACGTCTCGACGCAGGGCAACTACACCATGAACGTCTGGGTCAAGGATCTCAAGACAGGCGTTGCGCAGAACCTGACCGATACCGCTCTGACGCGTGCGGATAACACATATCCCACTGGTCACTTCCGGCCCTCGTGGTCTCCCAACGGCGACTGGCTGGTCTTCAGCTCGGACCGCAATACTGACTGGACCGGTCACAGCGAGGGTGTGGGATGGGAACACACCCAGAGCCTGGGCCTGTACGTGATCCGGCCTGACGGCACCGGCCTGCGGACGCTGGTGCGCCAGGATGGCTACTCCTTCGGTACTCCCCAGTGGTCGCGCGATGGAAAGCGGATCATCTACAACAACATGACCCGTGAGGCTACCTACGGCTCGCACGGGGTCGCTCAGCAGCAGGCCGCTGTCTCCGCTCAAATCTACAGCGTGGACTTTGCCACGGGCACTGACATTCAGCCCCACACCTCTGGCAGCTACCCCAAGGTCGGCCAGCACTACATCGGCAGTTCCTCCAACATTGGATACCTGGTCAAGGCCGGGCCCTATGAGGGAATCAACTACACTTCCCCCGATAAGACCCACAAGGCGTTCAACTCGACTAACATCCGCGATCCCTGGTGGTCCCCTGACGGATCCAAGATCGTTTATCAGACCTGGAACTGGGCCCAGCAGGCCGCCGGTCTGAAGCTCTGGAGCTTCGACGACGACTGGGAGTACCGATACATGGACGTCTTCCCCATGCACCACCCTTCGACCAACCGTCTGGCCTCCACCCAGAAAGTGCTGGGCAGCGCCAACGGTTCGCTGGTGACCTCCACTCCGCTGTACGCCGACGTGCACGAGGCCCTCGACTCGTACTCCGTGTACAGCGTCAGCAACGCGACCCAGGCCGAGTACCTGGCTGAGGGCCAAGCCGGTGCCTTCCAGCCCTCCTGGAGTCCCGACGGCGACGAGCTCGTTGTCGGCTTCGGCGCCTGGTTCACCTCGCGGGCGACCAACAATGCGACTCTGTTCCGTACCTTCACCAATGGCAGCTCCCACACCAACCTGACCGACGGCACCTTCAACGCAGGCTTCCCCTCCTGGTCCCCCGATGGATCGGCCATGGTCTACCGTAAGTGGAGCCTCGAAACCGCCGCCCCCGAGGGTCTGCACATCCTCAACTTCACCACCGGCGAGACCCGGCAGCTCACCCTGGGCTGGGACAACACCCCCGGCTGGTCTCCGGATGGTGAGCGCATCGTCTTCACCCGCAACAACAACTGGACGAGCTCCTACGGGGCCCGCTGGTACGCCGATCGCTTCGATATCTACACCATCCGGCCGGATGGCTCCGAGCTCACCCGCGTGACAGACAGTCTGTCCAACGATGCTCAGTAAGTGCCCCGCTCGTTCGAACAGCTCCTCCCGGGATGCAATGCTAATGTGATGACTTGTTAGTGCCGTCTGGTCTCAAGATGGCCGCATCATGTGGAGTACTGGTATGTACGGCTTCAAGGACGAGAGCGCCCTGTTCGACGACACCTTCCAGCCCTACGGCCAGATCATGGTCATGAACTACGACGGATCGAACAAGACCCTCGTCACGGACACGATCTGGGAGGACTCGATGCCGCTGTATATGCCCAATGAGTATCTTGAGTAGATGCGTTTTGGGTTTACTGTGTGTATAGAATTTAGTTAGTTTGTTAGCTTTGCTGAATAGAGCGATTACGAGATTCAATGACCATTCACCTTGTATTTCTAGCGGTAATAGCGATGCCTGGAGGTCGCTGACCTGGATTTTGGAGTGGTTATGGGTGCTCTGGGTGTGCCACATCTTTGTTCTGTGGTGGTTGATTTACGTTTTGTCTGGCTTGTATTGACTGTCCTCTTTCTCTCTTTCTCTTCTTCTAAGTATTGACTCTTACTTTATCCCTAATATAATCAACATTCTTCACTAGTGCCCTAACATATGGCACAGAAAGTGTATCAGGTAAGTGAGGGTGCGGTTCTGCGCGGTTGGGCAGGAAGAACGATCCGCATGACTTCATCAGCCCCTAATAGCATTTATAGCATCAACATCCTTGACCTTCTCTGGTCCATCTACTAAGCACCCTTCCCCACTCTTGTCACCATCAACTTCATCCGACAAGAATCATGTCTTATGTTATGACGGCTATTCAAACCTTCTGGCAAAGCCTCCCGCCGGATACTATCAAATATGTCATTCATGCTGCTTGTTGCGCTCTCAGTTGTGTTCTTGTCCATACCTTTGTCGATTTCAATGCCGATGGCGATTTGAAGTCTCGGCGTGAGAGGGTCCTGTCTAAGCTCTGGGACCTGTACACCGTGGCAAACGAGTCGAATGCACCCGAGCTAGAAGGGCTAGAATCGCTCACAATCCAGATTGATCCGTTTGACCCCGCAGGGCGTACCAATGTCGACAATCCCCCAGCACTGGATCCGACCTCGTACTTCGTCCCGCTATCGCATGAGTTCGTCCAAGAGCACCCGCTGGATCTGTCCAGACCGGAGAACTGCGAGATGATGGAGACCACTGCACGCCCCCTCAGGGCCGGGGACAGTCGCAGCACACGCCAGCAAATGCCGATACCGTCGTACGGAAAAGCTCAAATCCTTGCTCATCACCTGGCAAGTGTGATGGGAGCCCCACGGTTGAACTTCCCACCGGGCTCATGGTCCAGGCTGAGTATGGTCACTGGATGGCGCTGGAACATGTAAGTCTCAACCCCCATGCAAGCATCTATCCTGACTGGAAGGGCCAATTTCCTCGCGGTCAGTAACTTCCGCCTCGAACCGGCCTTTGATCGCGCGGCCTCCGGGAGCTCAGAGAGGTACAACTGGGGAACAGACACGTTCTGGGCTTGCTCTAACAGCCCAAACTTCCCTCACATCAAAGTGGCTCTCTACCACGATGATGTCGAGCACCCAGAGAGACTCTTGAAAGCAGAGCTGATGGTCCTCGTCCCCACGATGCACTCGCGGCTGGGCATGGAGACCCTGACAGAACATGTCGTTGTGCCTGTGGGTTCACATGACTCTTTCCTGTGCAGCTTTCGCAGCTGACCTTTCTTGCCTTTTACCTTTAGACCATGCTCTTCTCATTCATCGGAACCAGTGTGAGGATCCTGATCGCCATCCACGACGGACGTTGTCTTCGCGTCTCGGAATCGGACCTGATGCCATACTCGGAGGGTTCCAACGACCTCTGGAATCTCCTCGTTCGGTTCCTCGCTGGAGGTATAAATGGAGAGCTTAGCACCCAGCGACTGCCTGTGATGGACGACGCAGACAAGTGAGTCTGCAGAATTTGTGGAGTCCCATGGTTGAGAGGGTCGGAACAAGGTTCACTCAGTGAAAATGTGCTACTTGACTACCTACCTAGCGCATATCCTGTCTGTTAAACGCTTGAATGAAATTGTTTTGTCTTTAAGACCCTCCAAGCTAGAATGTAGATTCCACCTCAGGCACCCTCCTTCTCACCTCCCCTCCCCTCCCCACCTAACAGCACCCCCTCCTCACTACTCGCCACGCTCGCAATCTGCCACCGGCGAATCACATCCCCCTTCCACATCAACAGCCCCACAAACGCAAACGAGAACACGGCAAAGAAGGCCATCATCCCATACACCCAGCCCACGCCCACCGCCTCCACCCACGGATCGATGTAGAAGCTGATCGTCAGCCCATACACGATCCGATACGCGCCCACCACGATCCCGGCCTCGGCCGGGTACCGCGTGAAGCACTCCACCACGTAGTTGACCGTGACGGGCACGCTCGCCAGCGACCCCACCGTCACGATGAACACCGCCAGCGCCAGCACCATGTAATGCAGGTGGTACTGCAGGGTGGCGCCGAAGAGGCCCAGCCCGATCGGGTTGAGCACCAGACTGGGGAGCCAGAGGACGTGCAGCCGGTACTCGGGCTTCCAGATGCCCTGCCCCTGCGGGGACCGGCGCCGGGCTAGCAGCAGCGGCAGCCGGTCGGCGTAGTGATGGCCCCCCAGCTGCACGAGCAGGATCCCGATCCAGTGGCAGAAGGTGAACGCGGCGTTCTGGCGGAGGGTGAAGCCGTATCCCCCCTCTGCCGGGGAGCGTTGCAGCCACACGGGCACGAGGGCGTTCATGCCCACGTAGAAGCCGAAGGAGATCAGGGTGAACGTGCCCATGATCAGAGTGACGGGGCAGAGGCCGATGAGCACGGGGGCCACGGCGATCTTGGCGGTGGTCGACCAGGGGGTTGGGGGCATGAGGGCCTGGCCGAAGAAGAAGGTGGCTCGGCGGTTGGCCAGCCAGCTGGCTGGGGGGGTGCGATTGCGTTCGGGGTGCTCGCGGTCGTAGGCGGTTTCTTCGAGGAAGAGCACGATCAGGATGGCGGTGGCGCCCAGGAGGCCCACGGTCCACCAGAATTCGACGGGGAAGAAGGTCCCTGCCGAGATGAAGGCCGAGAAGGTCGGCCCCGCGATGGTGCCGAAGAGGAAGGCCATGTGCAGCGCCGTGAAGGCGCGTCCGCGCTGGTGCAGGAACAGCAGGTCGGTGATCATCCGCGGTCCGATCACGGTGGGCACCGCCCCGAAGAACCCGGCCAACAGGCGCGACATCACGTACGCGATGTACTCGTCCGAGTGGGTCATCACGGCCGCCCAGATCTGGCAGACCAGGGTGCACACGATGCTCCAGAAGATCACGGAGCTGCGGCCGAGTCGGTGGGCGAAGGGCGCCACGAAGAAGGGCCCGAAGGCCATCCCGGCCAGGGCTGCCGAGTTCTGCGGGGTTTAATCAGAACAGACACTACATCTTGCGATCTTGAAAAGAGGAACGCACCGCATACGACTCTTGAACTTTGGTCTTGCCATAGATCTGAGCCTGTTGGACCAGATTCAACTGGCCAGACAACGGGGCAATGGCCCCCGAGAATGAAGCCAGACAGAGCACAGCCAGAATCCGGTACTTGCGGCGATGAGGCCAATTCTGGGGTAAGACAATGGTCAAGTTAGATATGGGTCGTCACTTGTCAGCGATTAGGGGGGTTCTAGGAGACTAGGACCCATGTCTCACATACCAGTGGATCCTGGGGGCTGTGGCTGGGCTCCGGCACCAACACAATGCTACTGTGAGGGCGTTTTTCAGACTCCATGTCGACCATTGTGCTTGCACAATCCAAGCAGAGAATGACGACTTCGGCCACGTTTCACTGACCCGACGAGAATTTCAATCTTTGCGCCCGGCAGCGCAACCCCTGACGGACCCCGTCGATCCTTTCCTGGACGCGTCAGCCCCTCGGCTGTGGCGTGTGGCGCTGCCGGTGATTAACGCCGATCTCGGACATCGATCCCCGACACTGTAGCTGCTTAAAGACCCCGTGCAACCCCAATCTAAGGATGAGACTCTAAATATACCCAAGTGGATAGATTTCGTACGGGCAGTTGGTAGTAAATCTCCTTGCTAACCATGAAGCTTTTGGAACGGGAGAACTAGGGATCGTGGCACCATCGGGGGGTCTGAAACTACTTGGTAAAGGGTCAAAGGACCTAGACACAAGATTGACATAGTAAATGTCTAGGAGTAACTCCTGTAGCTACGATTGGTGGATAACAAACATGGCCCATGCATACGCTCTGTGCCCTCGCCCGAGTAGGGCTCGGCTTCCTCGCGTATGCACGGACCACTACGGATATGCTGCATCGTTCAGTAGCAATGGAGGAGGAAGAGCAGATGTTGGAGGAGTCCAAAGACACCTTTCACATAGACTTGACTGTCTTTCAAATATAGACATTCATCTTCTTACACTCACTATCCTTGCAGTCTTGAAAGTGACCAAGTCTGCACCACCTACCCAATCCTGCCATATCACCCTCGACAACCGCTCGCAATGGCCCAATTGGAACCCTACAAAGGCGACTACTATCTCTGGGAATACGTCCCTAACCTCGGGGCCGCCGTGGTCTTCGTCCTCATCTTCGCCGTCTTGACCGTCATGCACGTCTACCGGCTCATCAAGACGCGGACCTGGTTCTGTCTCCCCTTTGCCGCCGGCGGCATCTGTATGTTCCCCAGCCTCTGCAATTGCCAACACGCACGCTCACCAGTCTCCATCCTCAAGTTGAACTGTACGGCTACGGCGGCCGCATCGGCGCGCACAAGAACACGGCCTCCTTATTTTCCTACGCCCTGGCCAACGACGGCCTCCTGCTGGCGCCCGCCCTCTTCGCCGCCTCGGTCTACATGACGCTGGGCCGGGTGATCCGCGCCCTGCACGCCCAGAAGTTCTCGCTCCTGCCGCTGACCTGGCTCACCCGGGCGTTCGTGATTGGTGACGTGCTCTCGTTCGCGGTGCAGGGCTCTTCGGTGGGCCTCAGCGTGACGGGCCACACGACGGGTGCCAAAGCCGTCGTGCTGGTGGGCCTGTTCATCCAGCTCCTCTCCTTCGGGATCTTCGGGGCCACCGCCGTCGTCTTCTACCGACGCATCCTGGCGGCCCCCACGCCGCAGTGCTTCATTCCGCTTCTCCCGTGGAGAGAGAGCTTGTACATGTTGTTCGCGGTGAGCGGCCTCATCATCGTGCGCTCTGTCTTCCGGATCATCGAGTACTGGGGCGGGAATAGCGGGTATCTTTTGGCGCACGAGTGGCCCGTGTATGTGTTTGACTCGTTGCCGATGCTGGTCGTCATGGTGGTGTTCTACGTGTGGTATCCCAGTCGGATCTGGGGACGGGGCGTGGAGGAGGAGGTGGTGGATGTGGAGCAGCGCGAGCTGTCGAGCGATATCGCGGGTGCGGGGTTTACCGGGACGGAGTACCGGCGTGTGGCTTGATGTGCGAAGTAGAATAGAATTGATGGATCGTAACATACGTATTGTTTCCCCCCAAACCCCAATGATGGCCCTCTTCTTGTCTACGACTCTAGTATAGAGGCCTGCGGCCACGCAAGCCACGCCTCCCATTCCGTCCCCAGGTGCTCTGCGATTACCACAACCAACCCAGCCCCCGCGTCCCCGAAGACCCAGAACCCCCGGTGCTGATGCAGCAGCACGGCGTAATGCGCGAGGATGACCAGCGCCTCGGGCCGGCCTTGCCCCAGGTAGTCCAGATACTCTTGAGGCACGTGCACCGGCCAGGCGATGATCCTCGAGCAGGATGCTTGTGGGGTCAGTGAAGCGACTGGCTCGCTACTGTCGCCGCTGAACGGCAGGCACTGAATCGCCAGCCGGTAGTGGTCCGTGACGAGGGCGCCCAGCTTCGCCGCCTGGATGCGCGCCAGCAAGGCCTGCTGGACGGCACCCAGTGTGACGCCCGGGGTCGACTCTGCGACCCGCCACGAGGCGGCGATGGCGGACTGGCGGAGGGTATCCCACGTGCGGCCGGCCACGGCGCGCACCCCGCGGTGGAGAGCGGTGTACTGCACGAACCGGGCGAGGAAAGTGGCCAGACTGGGTCCCTCGGTGCAAAATCGGAGGGTCTCGCAGAGCACGTGCGTGCCCAGGATGGCGGAGAAGAGGAAGGTCGGAAGACTGGTGGCGGCGTTGAGATCCTCCTCGCGGGCCCGGAAGAGGGCGATGGCCTGGCATTGCAACTGGGTGGCCTGGGTGTGGTAGTATCTCCCCTGAGAGGGACGGACCAGACTCAGATGGAGCGCTGCGAGAGCGAGCAGCTCGTGCATGAGGTAGGGGGTCGAGAGGCTGGCTTGAATGATGGTTTCGAGGGATGTGGCAGATCCCTCGTGGTGCTGGGCGAGGGAATCAAAGACGGTGGTGGTGAAATGGTGGTACAGCTCCAGATGGAGCATGGATACCGCCGGGGAGGCATCATCCTGGGCTGATGAAGCGGAGAAGGGGCTGACGCTCGAATTGGTGGTACTCGAGGTCTCAGGGTTCGTTGTGGCAGAGGAAGCGATGGTGTGTGGTGAATAGAATGAGCGTTGATTCTTGAGCTCTCCAGTGGTGAACACGCATTCCCGTGCCGAGTCCCGGCATCTCTTACACTGCGGGCGGCTTTCATCGCACTTCTGATGTTAGATTTCCTGGTTGCGTGGTGTCGAGTGGGGTGCGTTACCTTGATGTGACGTCGCCTGCATTCTACACAGCCGGTGCGGGATTTGGTGTGAGCCTTGCGCGGCCGCATTAGTAATGAGGTCGGATAGGGGGCATCGAAGGGGCTAGGGTCTGAAAATAAGTAAAAGGTAAGGTGTTGTTTGAAGGAGTTATGATTGAGAAAGAAATCGGGCTAGGTTGGCCCATGCATACGAGCCCTAAAAGAGGGAGGGGGTGGAGTGAGGGAGTGAATGGCCTGTGCATACGCGTATCCGCAACTACGGTAATCCATGGAACCGAACCCCCCAAAAGTGGCGAAAAAGATTAGTTTTAGGAATTAGACCAGGGATATAATTGACGCTAATCATAATCTGATCGTCTATTGGTGCAGGGATCAAAGTACCACAATTATTCCTGTACAATGTTGGTTCCATCTTCGAATTGTATCTAGCCAGCACAAGCGCCCAAGCCAGTATACCCTTCATCTTGACCAGTTACAGCCCCGTCAAGTGGATCAAGCGTAACTATAGACTCCAAAGCCTGATCGGGAAAAACCATCCACTCCGCCCACTCAGGTCCAAGGGACTCGCGAATGGATTCGATCAGATACCGTCCGCCATCGCCCAAGAACCAGCGATGGCGATGTGCATGGAGGACAATGCCGTAATGTGCCAGCACCGCAAGAGCATCAGGGCTCCGGCGCTGAAGAAGATCGATGTACTCCAAGGGAACACTTGCCGGCCACGCAAGAACCGCCGGAGTGCAGTCCTCCCACGCTCCGGGAGAGGCGGCCGAGGTCATCGCCAACTGTAGCCCTCCGATCGCATCTTGATAAATTGCGGTGACGGAGGGACCCAACTTGGCCTGTTGGACGAGTGTCAGCAGGCGACTGCACGCAGGGCCAAGACTCCCCTCCGACTGCAGCTGAGACTCCGCGGCGCCCAATACCGGCCCCAGGGCTGTCGTCTCCCTCAAAGCGCGCCAACTGCCTCCGAGGACAGTGCGTACACCGCGATGCAAGCGGAGATAATGAACGAATGAATTGAGAAAGGCATCGAAGTTGGTGTCGCGGAAGAGCAGGGTTGCGCATAGCGTATGCAAGCTGAGAATGGAGGAGAAGAGGAAGCGAGGCGTGATGTCCGGGTCGGCTGCGCTGTAGAATGTTCGCAAGGCATGGATCTGTAACTGAGTGGCATGATCCCGGTATTGCTCCCGCTGGGCAGGGCGGATAATACTGATGTGCGTGGCTGCGAGGGCCAAGAGCTCATTTGCGAGATATGGGACCTTGGAGCAGCACTGAAGGATCTCGGGAGAGGACCAGATCATCTGATGACTGCTGTTGTCGCAAACCGACGGAAGAGTCTCAGTGAATAGGTGGCAAAGCAGCTCAGCATGAAGCATGTTGACCGGTGGTTCGTCAGGCGATTCCACGCTGGTGAAGCTCGTCGGTGATGCCTCTTCTGCTGGTGATCCTGAGATAGAAGGGGTTTTCTTTCGAGATATTGCTGGTCTGAAAGAAAGGGTCTGCGGCTCCGCAAATCCGCAGATTCGTTCTGATACTGTGCACTGCGAGCATATTGGCCGTCTTTCGTCGCACTTTCAGACGATTCAGCGCCAGTCCAGAGCTGAACAGTGAACTGATCAGATGGGAAAGGGGTGAAGGTTCAGTACCTTTATACGTCGACGTTTGCACTCTAAGCAGCCTAGTCGTGATTTTTTGTGCTTCCTGCGTGCCATGACAGAGATAAGTGAAGCCGTCGGCGTTGCAATATCAAGAGACTCGTGCACTTCATACGTAGATAAGGTCCCAAGGATGCGGGATTTGTCCAGCAAGAGACGGCGGGGCCCTGACTAATATTACAAAACAGGACAGAACAGAACACGCATACACTCCAGTAACCCTCTTTTCAGGCAGAAATCTAAGGATCCACTCATCTAACCCCTAATTATCATCAAAGGTGCTCTGATTCAACAACTCCATTGCCATTTCTGGCTTGGAAAGTCTCCCCGGATACCAAACCAGCCAAGCAACCATGGCCAGCCACATCAGAAGGGCGTCAAAAATGTACAGTGTCCACTCGTGGGTAAGGGGGTATCCCGTATTTCCCATCGTAAATTCGGCCACCCGAAACAAGGAGCGGATCATGATCAGCAGGCTCACCCCATACAAGAGATAAAGGTGATCTCGCCAGTGGAGGCGGGCATCGTGGGCTCCGGGGGTCGGATGTCGCCGTAGGCGGATTTGAAACACCATGGCCGTGATGATGAAAAAGGCAAACATGAAGACCTGGATGAGCAGGCCCGCCACCACGATGTCCTGGCCGAGTTGTGCATTGCTCCCGGAGGCCATCAATCCCGCGGCGCCCCCCTGAACGAGGAAAGAGACCACATCGCCCATCACAAAAGTCTTGGTGAGCCAGCGCATGGGGATCAGGGAGTAATGCTCGGCCCCGGTGCTGCGGATGATGCGGCCCAGCACCATGTATACCGAGGCTGCAAACAATACCGGTCCGAGCAGGAGGAAGACGTTCTGTATGGAGTAGGGCATGACACTGCCGGACTCGAAGTGCGCCCAAGCCCGGGCAGCGCAGCCGATGACTTCGACTAGAAAGCCCGCCAGTCAGCCTTGGCCCTCAACATCAGGCAATAGCAATAGGGCGAAAGGACAAGAAGAATTAGGACCAGGGGGCACATACATATCCCGCCGATTGCAAAGGGGACACAAAAGCGAGCCCGCCATTTGACCAATCTGATAAAGTGTAGCACTGTCGCGGCCGTGAAGACGATGGCGAATATTACGGCCGCAGCCAGTGAAGGCAGATATTGCCAGAGGTAGTACCCATGCTTGTAGGGCTCGAGCTTAGCCATCAAGCATAGATTAGGCTCGACAAGTTCAGAGTGTGTTGGATCTCTGAACACGAGAAGAATCCCATGCATGCTTTTGACTGAATTTAACTAATCTTGAACTCATCCTGCATGGTGAACGTGTGGAAATGTGGTAGGAGCTTCCGCTGTGGCTGCGAGCTATAAACGCGTATAGAGCGACATGCCAGTATGTACAGTACTGTAGATCAATGAGGATGGTCTGTGCAAGCGCGTATTGCGTTTTGCCCTATACGCTTAGTAATTTCTATATAATCTCTATGATTTCTTATTTTATCTAATATCTATGCATTTTAATTGATTGGATAAAATCCGATGACGGAGATGAAAAGTGGTCTGTGCATACGCGGATCGCATTGATTGCCCGATGCGGCAATCCTGGTTACCCCCGACAGTCCAAGTTACTTGCTAGGGGGGTTTATATGTGGACGATACTCCTAAAATCTCATCTTCAATCTCCTTCATCCCACCCTCAGTCACACCCTTCCCAGCTAGAAAGATGCGTCTCATGGTTGTTGGAGGAATTGTTCCCATCTCTTTGGGATTGATCTCATTCGGTGTTGCATCTGTCGCATCCATCATCACACAGGCAGACACCTGCTTCGAACCACCCCCATCAGAGCCCATCGAAGTCATTCAGCTACCACTGCCACCCGTGGTGCCAACCGACGAGAGTGGCGCCTGTACTCACCACCTGAATCCGCACGGGACAGGATGCATGGGCAAATCATCCCTGATGAACGGCGGGGACTTCTCGCCGGATGGGAACCACGTCCTCGTCAGCTTGAACTTCACCGGGGCCCCGTCAGCCCCAGACCCCGCCAGTATCTACACTGGCGCCCAACTGATCCTGGTCCGGACTAATGGGACCAACTTCTCGACGGGGAGCCCGTGGAAATGCCTGACGTGCGGTGTGCCAGAGAGCCACAGAAGGGGCAGTTCGTCGCTGGCCGACTATCCGCAAGCCTTCGCCGACGGCCAACGAGCCCTAGCCGGGAACAATATCGTCGAGTGTCGAGCAGGTCTTCTCGCCAGTGAGGCATGCACTCCGGACCAGATTCACATCTATCCCATCCGGTTAAGCAACACGGCCGACGATTCCGGGTCCGGGGCCATCATCCGTGAGCTGCGCTTGCACCCCGACAATGTCCACTTGGGCTTCAACTCCTTCTCCGTCACCGCATCAGGACAACTCAGTCAACACACCTACTTCGGTCGACTGCAGTTCAACGACTCCCCTGCCACGGGCTCCCCTCGCACTGCGCGATATGACCTCGTGAACGTGACCGTCCTGGTTGCCCCGGATGGTCCACTCCCTTATACCGTCACCGGTGATCAGATGCAGATCAATCGCCAGGCATTAGTGGTGGGGGAGTTTCGAGGCTTTGCCAATCGTGGACAAGAGGTCCTGTACATTGGAGTCCCCTGGGAATCCTGCAACATCGATTTCTTCGCAGCCGACTTGACTACCGGCGAGGTGCGCCGAGTGACAACGCACCCGGGCTATGTGGACCCGGTGGGGGTCTCTCCGGATGGCCGCTGGCAGGTTATCCTGGACACGCGTGGCACAGATCGCATGGAGTTTCTGTCTGCCATGCGCGGGGTCCCTCCTGTGGTTGACCTGTTGACGGTTACCACGGTCGCATCGGTGCGCAACAATGGCGATCGACGCTTCTTCCAACCATGGCTCTTGGACGCCCATGGAGACCGCGATGGTCCTGACTACAACTACTACGGCCAACAGATCAACGCTGGCGGGGACGGCCAGCCAGGCAGCATCAACGACCCCAACTGGAACGCCGGCGCTGATCCGCGCTGGTCTCCGGACGGCACGCGCATCATGTACTGGCAGAAGATGGTCGTGCCCCCTGCCTGCGGAGGGATCAATCCCTTGCCATGTCCCACGTCGACGGAGCCGGGCGGCCGGACCTCGCGTCTCATGATGGCGCGACTCACCAGTCGCCAGCCCTACCATCTCGACCCCGTGGCGCCAGTTTCAGACCGAGTTCCTTGGGGGCTTCCTTATATCCCCGGGGAGAGCGTGCCGGAAGTCTTCAACCTACCCCCGGGCAACTATACGCTACACGGGCAAGTCTCGGGCTCGGCGGACGTGGTTCTTCGCAACACTAAGACTGCGTCAGCGCTCGACTTTGTGGCAGTGAGGTATCACAATTACTCCGACGACGGCGTGCATTACATCCAGGGCCACGAGTCGGTGGCCTCCACGTTTCTGTCCGTCACATCGGCCCGGCTGGATTGGTATTCTAATCTGACGGCCACGGGGGCCTCGTACAGCACCAAGGTCACTGGACCTGGTGGGTTTCACGTCGTCGATGATGCCATGCTCAATGTTTTCGTGGCCAACGGGACCCTCGTCACGACGGTGGACGGGGTGGTATACAAGCAGCCCTTGACTGGGACGTGACTTTTGGGCGCTTTCGTGTCCCCTCAATGAGTATATACATTCATGGTTATCGAGGCAGTATGCTTCCGCACAGAGCCAAGGGGAACCCCGATCGGAGACATCACGGGGCTGAATCCAACAACAGAGTTCTATAATCCCCTTTCCATCATAGGCCTTCATCTCATCATCTCCCCGTCTACGCCGACTGCACCCGTGCCTGCCGCGCCTCCCACTCCCGCTCCAGCATCCCAAACACCACATCATCATACCACCTCCCATCGTGCCAGAATGCCTCCCGCCGGCGCCCCTCGAGCGTGAACCCCAACCGCTCATACAACCGCACCGCCCCCTCGTTGTACGCGAGGGCCTGGATCTCCACGCGATGCAGCCCCGCGCGCCGGAACGCCCAGTGCAGCACCCAGTTGATCGCCTCGCTGCCGTACCCCTGGCCGCGGTACGGGCGGGCGATGTCGATGGTGATGGAGGTGCCGCGGTGGTGGGCGTAGTCCCCGCCTTCGCGGCGGAGGGAGATCACTCCAATTGGGGTGCCGGGGGTTGTCGTCTGGGTCTGTGTCTTCTGACTATCTTCTGCAGAATTCGAGGCAGGGGATTCGGCACTCGATGCGGCATGCGGCAGCACGATGATCGCCGCCAGCAGCGCCCGCTCCATCAGGGATTTCTTGTACCCATTGATGGTGTCACGCTTGGCTTGGGGCTTTGGTAGGGCGGGCGTCGAGTTAGCGTAGGCTTCGGGGTCGGATTGGATGGCGTGCAGGAAGTCTTCGTCGTCCGGGGTGTCTTCCAGGGCGCGGTAGGTGAGGCGGGCGGATCGGAGGTAGGACATTGTCTTTTTGTTTTTGCCCGCTTGGCGAGAGGATTGAGAGAGAGAGAGAGAGAGAGAGAGAGAGAGAGAGATTGTGAAGGAGTCAGGTTAATTCTCGCGAGATTGCAAATGGATGGTGCTGTGAGTCACTTTATAGGGTTGGTGAAGGAAGCTGAGGCTAGACTGCTTTCGGTCCCCGCCTTGACGGGCTTATCGTGGAAGACGCGAGTCATCGAAGGATTTAGGGGTCTTTTCATTTTGTAGCTAGACTAAAGACATAGTTTTCCCACGATAGTAAGATCTTGCGCATTATAGTCCGACTAAATCTTGGCTGGCCGAAATTAAGCAAAGTCCGTCGGGCATCCGGCTGGCATATCCGAGGGCGGGAATTGCGGGCGGATACAGAGTTTATCAATCATCAACGACTCTTTGCGATAGACTCTCATTTGAATATTTGGCGGCCCCTTACGAACCCATGTCGTATTGTAACGGAGAGCCTTTGTCAACTTCGAAGCACAATCATATCTTGTGCGTGCATCAGTTTGCCCCGAGCTTACATGGTGGCAGCCTAGGGCAAGGCCCGAGCCGATCTCCGCTGCACAGCCTTCCTACCGGACACGTGAAATACAAGCCCAATGATGAAGAAAGAGCAATACGAGGTGGCGATTGCGCTATGGTCTCCACCTCTAAATCCAATCCTCTCAGGCTCGCAGGTTTGCAAGTAAAACATTAAGCATTAAGTTACGGGGAGAGACCCGAGATATGGTACGATACACCAAGATAGGAATTATTAGCCCATCGAAGCATCCCCTTTCGCCTGTTCACCACCACCCACTTTCACCTGTTGTCGCACAAGCCACAACTCATACTTGACCAGGATCCTGCACACCACCGCCGAGGCCACGAACCGCACCACGATAAAGAGAGCGTCATTCGGGGAGATGAAGAGCAGGCTCGAGAACTGTAGAATCCCCAGAAGCGTGTTGGCCGCGGCGAGTAGCCCCGTCAACCAGGAAATCAGCACATTGGCCACCGTGCGATCCCGCAGCTGGACTTCGGTCGTCTCGCTGCTACCATCCGACGCGGTGAACTGCGCTCGCATCCACCGAAGTATCCGAGTAGAAAGACTGACATTGCTCGTCCGACAGTCGCGAATGTGCACACGCGTGCGGAGCGCGACGGTCATGAAGAGGTGGGTGGCCACGCCCACGGCGACCCAGAGACCGGGCATCCACTGTAACTGCTGGGCGAAGGAGAAGACAACGCGCATGCAGATCTCGTAGACGAGGGCCAGCACATTTCCTGCAGCCACCGCAGCGAGGAGGAACTCAAGCACCACGATAGCGAGGTTGCGGTGCAACAACAGGGAAGAGGGGTCGGCAGAGAGCCACTCGTGGGAGCCTTTCAGGTCCTGGACGTACTGGTAGAGGTTCCCGGAGGCGTCGACCGCGCTGGCGGGCGAGGCGACCATGAGGAGGAAGGAGAGGAGCTGCCGGTCGCCGAAGACGAAGAGCATGGCCGTCTCGTGGGCGCTGGGGCTGATGCTGGCCAGCAGCGTGGGCATCAGTCCCAGCACCACCTGTGCGCTGGCCATCATGGATTTGTAGAGCTCTGGCGTGGCCCGCAGCAGGCAGTTGGTCAACGGGGTCACTACACTGTCGACATGCCAGATCGCCAGCTCGGGGTCATTCGCAGTCAGGTTTCCGACCGGTTGGTCTCCGGTCAAGTATGCGTCGTATTGCGCGGAGCAATTCGTGGTTTTGATCGTGTTGATTGCGCTCCGGTACCTCGGCCACCAGGAGCTGAAGCGTTGCGGTTCGGCTGCGACACATGTTGAGAGAGTGAGGAAGAGGATGAGGAAAAGCACCGATGGCTGTCGCAAGTTCGACATTGTCAGATCCAGTGAGGCTGTAGTGCAGCATGCGAATATATACTAGGAAGCCAGGCCAAGCCAATATGCGGAGAACTGGACCGCGTCCATGAAGCATTCTGCAGGACGCCCAAATACCCGCTTTCACGCTATATATACTGTCGAAGTCGCCGTAGGAGTTCGCCTCATATCGGCATCTTCGTATAATACTTCAATCATCTAGTCACGGTGTGCAGCAGGCATCCATGTTCTCAATGATCGCCAGCTGGAAGGCCGGTAAGAGTCATGTCATGGGGATAGGCGATTGCATGAAGCCTAACAGCAACGATCTTTCATAAAGCAGATGGAAGAAAAGCTCCGCAGGCATGGGCACTATCAACACGATCTCTCGCGGCAAATCAGCGCCGAAACTCCAATCAGGCTGGAGATTGCTGTGGCTCATGTTGGTGGCTTCCTGAGGTAGCGGGATTAAGAGACGGTAGTATAGCCCCCGCGTGCTTGGCCCGGCCGGCACTGCCTCCTCTTCAGCATTACGAAATGCGTATTCGAATCGTATTCCACATTTCGTGCCTGGTCCTATTGACTACGGCTGCACAAAATCCGATTACTCCGACATTTGCTGGTCTTGGTGCAGAACGGGTATGGGGGGGTTGACATAGCACAGCCTCCTTTTCAACTTCCCCGCGCTGCTCCCTATTGGTGACAAAGGTCCGTGATGAGCAGGCTGCATCACTTCTTGGCATCCTTCCAGAAGCCACATGGTATGTCGATCAGATTCACAGGCTGGTAACCACGGAAGCACTGCCTCAAATACTTCGTAATGACGAACTTTGAGTCTTTCCCTAGGAAAGAGCGCCAAGAGCCTGCGTCTAGGTGGCCGTACTGTCGAAAGCTGCAGGTCAATTAGATGACATGTTGCCCTGCTTTCTTAGGTTGAGCAAAAGGCGTTGACGGGGTCAAATGGGAGGAAACATGCTGCGAGAACGGTGGCCCAAGGTCCGAGACCATAACAGCCCAGAATTCTTGCAAGCTCGGATCAGTACGGAAGACCACATCGAGTGATCAATGCCGCACAATCGCCCAGCACCTATAGAGCTATCGACGCCGGTCAACATCTCCAGAGTCTTGTCCTGGCTCAAACAAAGACACAAACTAATGAGCATAGTCTTGTTGTAAGATAACCTCTGTCGACGATCTTGTATTTCATAAACTGTACTTTTCCACTCCTACCAATTCAGTCGTCGTGACTCGCATGCAGAAAAGCTGATGTCGTTTCTCAGAACCCCTTCGAGCCGAAGCATAATCACTTCCAGTTGCAGGCACTTCCAGGTCAAAAGGAAAACCAACCATGGAGGCTCGACCATTGCTACAGGACACCTTTTGGTGAATACTCTGCCTCTTAGGTATCACATGTCACGCTGAACAACTCCCACCAATCTTCGATCGAAATAGGTGCCAGTATCACCTCATCTTTGAGCCATCAGTCGCAGACTCGACTTTGAACCCCGCATCGAAGCTTCTCCCAGCATCTATAATACGGGCAAGTCGCACAACGTCATGGCACACCACTCGAAGCTGCTGTTCTCATCCCATGGTTCCAACGACTATCCCAAGCAAACCCCGATGCCTTGCTTTTGGATTCCGTGGTTGACCAAGGGGGTTCGATCCGAGTCGTGTCACTCCACGGGTTGGTCTAGCCGCTGAACTTGGTTCCATGGGATTCTCAGTGCTGTGGTGTCATTTGCCACCGAAGCAGCAAACACTGAGACCGATGTACTGTACGATGGAACCAGGATTCAAGGGTAATAGCTGGCTGGGCTGAGCTGCCGAATAGCACAGCCTTCCCTACTGATTTGACGTGACCAGAGGGGGGAGGGGACCCTCGGTCTGTGCTCCCCGAGCTCCATGGAATTACTTGACTTAGGGCTGCGGCGGACAAGAACTGGGGTCCGGTGGGTTCATTCTAGAGCTGTCTATCCGGGTCTTCCTGAGCAGGGACAGCGCCGATCGCACTGACTACCCAGCTAAACTGATGGATGTTGTAGAAAAACATACGGACTCGATTGATAGAGTATAGTATAGCCATACCAGAAGTGACATTGTCATAGAATGGCGTGATGCCATTACATCACTTAGACTTGTCTGTTGTTGCACAGTAACTTACAGTATGAGCACAGCGGCAGATAACAAGAGGGTCACGTGGCCGGGGTCGAATCGGCCAGAAGCATCGCGGAGCCACTCGGCCGGTCCGGCCGATTCTCGCAACTTCCAAGGCCATCCGCTGGATGCCTCAGGCATCTTCCAGAGCCATCTAGAATGCTGGATCCATCACCCCTAGAACCATCCATAGAACCATCCATGGAATCGTCTATCCCCGCTTGTTGCATCATCAGCATTCTCAGTCATGGCTGTCACAAGGTATAAAGACCCCCTCGAGCTCTGGTCAAGTTGGTCTTCATCAGATCAGAATCAATCAAGCCATCAACGAGAACAACAACTAAGTCTCTAATCCTCTACATACCACGCACTCTTCTACAAACTCTTCTCTACATCTACCACCAACCACCACAATCAACATGTCTCTCTTCCGCAGCATCCCTTCCGCTGGTGAATTCGGCCCGCTCTTCCGTCTTCTGGACGACTATGACCTCCACCGTTCCGGCCAGAGCGCCAGCTCCTCCACCACCGCCCGCTCCTTCGCGCCTCGCTTTGACGTCCGCGAGACCGCGGAGGGCTACCACCTCGACGGCGAGCTGCCTGGCATCGCCCAGAAGGACGTCGACATTGAGTTCTCCGACCCTCAGACCCTCGTGATCAAGGGCCGCACCGAGCGCGAATACCACAACTTCGACGAGCACGAGGAAGGCCAGCAGGAGACCGCCACCCAGGAGAACAAGGAGAAGGAGAAGGCCACCGAAAGCACGGAGGTCTCCAAGACCGGCGACAAGCAGGTCAGCAAGAACCACAAGAACAAGCCGCACTTCTGGGTCAGCGAGCGCTCCGTCGGCGAATTCCACCGCACCTTCAGCTTCCCCACCCGCGTCGACCAGGACAGCGTCAAGGCCAGCCTGAAGAACGGCATCCTCTCCATCTTCGTGCCCAAGGCCGCCAAGCCCACCTCCAAGAAGATCACCATCGAGTGAATCGGTGCACCAGATGAGCGGAGGCGAGGCGAGGCGCGACGCGACGCGACGCGACGAGAATTTGTGATCGGTTGAAGTTCTAGCATAGCGATTGAATTTGTTGACTTTGTGCTTGTTCTGTGTTGTTTCTTTTCCTTCTTGAGCTGGTTGATTGAGAAGATGATCGCACTTTCATTCCTTCGGAAGTATTCTGTTGAGCACTGGATGTCATTCCTTACAGTAATGTTTGCTAATAGTTAATTGATTCTGTTACCTATTATCTTATCTCCACATCACGAGTAGACTAGAGTTGGCACCAAGAGTAAACATTAAAATAGCTTTGGCATCGGAATGTCGTAGCATAAGATGAGCCCCTCTGGATCGGTTAGTGATAAAAGCATTGGCCTCAGGTAGGAAGATAATACCTACACTTATCCCCACCGCGGATAGTTTGTTGACGGCAGCGAGAGCTGGATTTTGTTTTTCTCGTTTTAGAGCCATAGATGCAAACGAAGCAAGATACCTCATGTGCTTCCTCGATGGTCTAACGGTCATGATTTCCGCTTGTCAATCCCTTCTGGGAACAAGCGCGGGAGACCTGGGTTCGACTCCCAGTCGGGGAGATTTCTTTTTGCCCTGCGTTAGTATATCTCATATCCTTCTTTTCAGTAAATTACTTTTGCTCTTGTTGTGTGTATTCCTGAGGGTCGGTGTCCCGGGGCTATTAACTAGCTCTTCAATATGTAGCTCATGTGTCGCAATACTCGATGCTTTTGATTGCTCTGTTGTCGCATCTTTTTCTGGTATTCAGCCTGGCTCCGTATACGCCGACGATATATATCTGGTTCCGTCCGTCCCTCCACTCTGAGCAATTTGCGTCTCGGGTCAACTTGGTCCTCCTATGCTTGTTACCACTTTAGTATATGGTATCAAACCTGTAAGTGCATCTTCTCTCGCCCTATCAATCCTCCTCACCAGCGCAGTACCCAGAGTAAACACAGACATGATGACCCGGTGGTAGCGCCCCGACCGATCACGTGACCGAAAGTGCTGGTCACGACCGATGCCGGCTGATGCCTGGGGCACCACTTTAAGCACCAGCACTACGAGTAGAGTTCAGACCTTTCCAGGGTTGGGATTGTGAGGAGATCTTGGTTCGGCTGATAGGAACGGGATTGCAGACAAGGGTAGCCCTATGTCTCTACGCACCTAAGTGAAAGCGGGTACCCAGTCTAGATCCTGTGGTGTATACATATACGGCATCCCGTCGAGGTCTAGGCTAAGCCGTTCCATCCACACACGGTACTACTCGCAGCATCGACGGTGATGGCACTGCCTACAGAACACCAAGAACCAGCCCTTCAGGCAAGCAAAGCACAAGTAGATTCTAGCCGCAGTATACAATACATCTCAGACATCGCACCAAATTCATCACCAAGCATGAACCCCAGCCCTAAAGACGAGGGTAACCAATGCTGGTGGAGCAAGAAAGGTATCGTAGAACGAACAAAAATATCAAACCAATCCAGCGTAGCAAATAGGGAATCAACCATGATTTCATCCTAATCCCGCCGAGAAGCGGGATCCCGACATCCAGAGTCTCGTCGCGAAGACCGACGACGAGCTTATGCGCTCAGGGTGCACTTAGTGGCGGCGTTGACCCAGCCGGTCAGACGGTTGGCAACGTCGGTGGCATAGCAGGCGGTGCCGACGCCGACGTTCAGGTTGGAGGCGTCGGAGATGGAGCCCGAGTTGTACAGGCGGGCGGCGCGGTAGAAGCCAGAGACGTCCGTCTTGCCCTGCTGGTCGATCAGACTGGCGAGTCCGTCACCGGCGGCGGTTCCGATCGCTGTGTTACGGGAGCAGTTAGTGTCTGCGCTGAACGAGATTCGGGCTTGAAGGGCACTCACCACCATCGCGAACCATCTGGAGGATCTCGTTCTTCGGGCACGGGTTCTGGACCACCCCGTTGTCGTTGCAAGTGCCGGCGCCGTCATGATCCTGCATGAGGCCCGGGTTGCGCACGCCGTAGTTGGTGGTGTGCACGCGGACACAGCCCTTGGATTCCTGCATGATGATGGCCAGGATGAACCGGTGGTCGAGGTGGGACTCCTTGGCCACCTGCTGGATCGAGTCGTACAGGTTCTGGGTCTCGTTGGCCGAGTTGTTGGGCACGTCGAACTGGGTGCAGGACTCCATGATGGTGGGCTTGTTGGCCTTCCACATGTCGTCGAAGGAAACCCAGCTGGACTGGGCGGGCCAGCCATCGGCGACGCTGCCGTCTCCGGTGTGGAAAGTGTAGACATCCTGTCCGGTGCCGCTGCCATCGTTATCCTTGAGCGTGGTGACGGCCAGGCTGCTGACGCTGACCACGGCGTTGGTAGAGCGGGAGACCAGGTTCTTGGTCCGGCTGCCCATGGGGACGGCGGTGGAGAGGCCAACCAGCGTGGCGGCGGCAAGAAGGAAGTTGTTCAACTGCATTGTGATGGTGGTAAAGGTTTTGGTTATAGGGTTTAGAAGATTGGTAGACAGGGAGAAAAAAAAGCGAAGACTGGATCCTGCAAGGATTAATAGAGAGAGTGTGGATGAACGAAGGAGTGTGATGAGACTAATCAATAGTCTCGACAAGCAACGAATAAGGAATGACGATGTCGTGAACGACTAGAATCTGCAAGCTTGCACTGCAAGTTGATGAGGGAATGAGGATGATGGGGAGAAGAAGAAAAAGGAGGAGGATGCATCTGGAGGGGTAGCAGACGAGGTCTTTATACGGCCGTGGTTGTGAAGAAAAAAGCCCATCGCTGCAGGACGAAGCGAGTCAAGCAGGAAAGTCTATTTGCTGCCACAGTGGGCACCAGGGAGTTCGTTCCTGCGGCCCCTGTGCGTGCCTGTTGGATGTACCTGTTGACCTCCTCCGGGGACGCAGGAACTAGGTTGCAAAAACGCTCTATCACGTTTGTTGGAGTGGGCTTTCCCAATGGGAGTTGAACATGTTCATGTCGGGGATTTTCAGGTCTGTAAAGCCCCCAATCGGGACCAATCAGGACCAATCGGACCAGCCGCACGGATGCAACCGAGGCCGATCTGGAGTTGCCATTGGTTCATGGCCATTACGCCGGTTCAGATCCCTGGAGCCAATCAAAGCGCTGAAACGGGCGATCCTGCCCGGTGGTTAGTGGACTAAGCTCTATCGGGACTAGTCGCCGGAAGTGACACCTGTTTCAGACTTTCAAGTTGTTTTCAGACTGAGCCTTCAGCTCCGAGCCTGGAGGTCAGCTTAACTTACCCCTCTTTTTCTCACGTTCTTCGAAGATATACTCTCGTGTCTGCACTATCATGGCAAGGTATATTCCAGGTTACAGACAAGGAAATTTGCCTACCACCAGTGCCCCGATGACTGACCAAGTTGGCTACTCAGCAAGTAGAGCAGGGTGGGTCGACCACCGTGCAATGCGGTAGGGCAGGATGGGGTCGGGTCGGTTTCAGGTGTCTTTCTTCAATGAACCTCGGGGCTCTCGGTTTCAGATTCATTCCAATTCATTCCAACCCACTTCCGAATAAAAGACTCCACCACTGGCAGGATCTCGAGTCTCTTGCTTTGTCCAGGGGCCCGCCCGGCTGTTGGCATCTGCAGTCTGAATGCCCGGTCATGGCATGCATGCATTCAATCAGGGTATGCCCCTATGATCGCCCCTTTCACCTGAACCGCACTAATCTGATCTCCTTAACCCATTTTTCTACGATTCTCAGCATCGGTGATAATAGTTGGCCCATTCCGCCCCTTATCCAAACAGCGATCGACCGCTGTCTTTGCAGCCATGCGGAGATTGACGCTCCCAACACTACCAAAATTACACCACCACATACTGTTCATGTCAGCACAACACGGCCCCCATGAGGAGCTTCTACCCTGCCATCCAGCTGCTGAGGACACACTACCCCGCGTTGGGTGGCTGAGGGAATCCCACGGCTTGATTGAGCCATAATACGCTTACTCTCCTGCCTTCTCCGGCCATCTTGGCGCCATCCGACTCCTGATTCACTCACAAAAATAGCGACAGGGGACTGGTTCCGGACCAGATGCCCCTTCTGACCCTTTGCGAAGAAGCGACCGAGACATAAGCACAATTTTAATCCTGCAGAATAAGGGTGACTGCTCTGCGAGTCATGCTGGAGTTGTGTTTGTGTTGTCAATCTCGCCCGTCAGCATTCCGGCAGCATCCTGGCGAGACTGCAATTCCATTGTTGGTGAGGAGGATCTTCTCACGCGTGATGCTCGCGTTGCATTGACGCAGAATCGACACTGCTTGCGATCCGGGTCTCTGGTGACGGCAAAGCTCGACTAACCGCAAGCCTACTCAGCGGGACCACTTGTGCTGTACATACAATATTGCGCTGGGCAATTACCCCTGGAAAGCGAGACATGCAGTTGTAGTGTTGCTCCAACAAGCGCATTATTGTCTCCCTCGATCCTCTGAATCTCATATTGTGCTGCGCCTCATCCTTGACTCTATTTTCGCGGGCCGAAACCAGTGGTGAGACAATCTTGAGAGCACAGCTAAGGGAGAGACTTTCAGGCTCGAGTCAATCTAGGCAAACTCGAAATCTGCGTTGTATTTCCCTCACTTGTCTCGATCTTAATCAGGACCGAAGACAGGGTGGTCCAGACACGCATTCGATGATACTGATGAGGACCTCGTCACCAACAGTTCCAGTGCACAATGGGAGGCCTCTCACTCATGTTGAGCAGCCATCTCGCCCCATGCATGTTGACACTTCGTTTTACGACCTGTTCCTGAGTCCTCAGGGTTTCTGTCGGTCGCTACTCCTCTGACGGCCTCTTCGCTAGCATCAACTCCCCATCAGGAGAGGGCTACGATATTGCTGGACAAACAGAGTTCGGACACCGGTGGTTGAATCAAGAATTCGCAGGAGGTGAGCATCAGTCAAAATCAAACTTTCGGCCGGGTCATACCAAAAGGGAGCAAATGAGGTGATTCTTCCATTGATGCACTGATGGTCTTGACCGTGACAGCATCTGGTCCTCGAAGCTGACTACGTGATCGACCTGCCCCGACACCCTATCCGAAGCCCTCTTTCGTCGGACGCATCCAGTGCACACATGGAAGGGCACACAGTAGAAGGACATGCAACTCCTCAGGGTGCTACACAACACATCGCCTCCGGCGTGAATTCCAAGCGATCTGGGACTGGAAAGCCGTTGCATCGACATATACTGCGCATATCGTCCTTTACATGCTGGTTTCTCTTTCTGAAGGCCTCTTGAATGCTAAATCGAGACAGAGATCATAGCAATACCAGCAGACTGTCACCTCTATTCCCCTCCAAATCCGTGTCCAGCACAAACCCCCTTCTATCCCGGCGTCATCCGTCATTCTCGCGACTCCCCACCAACTGCCGCACATACAGCAGAGCATCCCCAACCCACCGCGCTCGCTCCTCGCCAACCCGATCCCTCACGCCCGGATTCCGCTGCAACGCACCCACCACCACACTGAGAGGCCACACAATCGCCAGCCCCCGCATCGCTTCCCCCTCCCCGGCCCCGCGACCACCACCGAGGCCGTCACTCCCCGCAGTCGGCGGCCCCACGATCGCATTCGTACTGCGGGATATATGGCCTACCATCTCCTCGACCACCTCCAGAGCACCCACCTGCTGGTCTCGCAGCCATACCCCCGACTGGTCAGGATCTCGCTCTGCAATCCACCGTCGACATCGGAGCAGATTCCGGGCCAGCAGGATCCGCACCGCGAACCCGAAGGTCCGGGGGATCGCCCGCCAGCTGGACTCGTAGACGTAGACCCGCCGCGGCGCCCCGGGCCACTGGAGGAGGAGGTGGTCTTGGGGGGTGGCGGGGCGGTCGTAGAAGTGGAATGCAGGCGGGAGGTGGGACTCCCATTCCTGGAGCTCGCGGTCGGCCTGGATGAGCGTGGCGATCATCTCCTCGAGGTGGAGGATGGCGGGATTTGAGATGTTGCGGGGCTTCTCGTGAGCGTCCATCCAGCTGTCCAGATCGGCCTGCCACTGCGCGAGGTGATACATCGTCCGGAACAGTCGCGCGGCGGGGAGGCGGGGATCGAGAACCCCTGTCCACAGGTGCAAGGGGAGCTGGGGTCGGGAGCGTGCGTTCAGGCAGTTCACTATCATGAGCAAGTACAGGAACTTGAGCAGTCGTGGGTCAATGGTCTCCTCCTCTGTTGCATTTGGCCCGCGAGATTGTGTTTGCTGCTGCTGCTGCTGCTGCTGGATGAGCGAGATGGCCCCGTGTTGATGCGCCTGCCAGGATCGGTGCTGCTGCTGTTCGCCTCCACCACCCTCCCCACTTGCGCTGCTGGGCAGGATGGTCTCGAAGAGCCCCATCAGCGAGACGGAGACGATCACATCCGTGCCGGGGACGCCGTTGCGGGTCTGCAGCTGCGACCGGATGAGGCCGATGGCTTTGGAGTACTCGGTGCGGGCGAGGATCTCCAGCTGCGGGATCTGCCGCTGCCGTTGCTGCTGTTGGCGCGCGTGGTGGGCCAGGGCCAGCGCTCGAATGGCCTGCGCCGAGGCCGGGTTGCCGGCTGGTTGCCGGTGGAGCATGGGCAGCATCTGAAAGAATTCCAGCCAGGGATTGGAGACGGCAACCGTGCATCCGAAGTCCCGATAGAAGGTGGCTAATGCGTGATGCTGGAGATCATCGGCAGGGGGACTAGGGCTTGGCGAATGGAGGGGACTGGGGACGGCCGCAGCCCTCTGGCGCCATAGCGAGACGGCTCGCACGGCCGCCTTGGTGTTCTCGTTACGGAAGTCGATCTCCAGTGGGTCGGGGTAGTGACAGCTGATGCCTTGGCGAGTACATCGGGCGCATTGCGGTTGATCTTCGCTGCACTGCGGTTGATAGTCTGTTAGGGGTAGCCGCATTGGGGGGAGGGGGTGATGCTGAGTTACCTTGACCTTGGATTTACGGCATGCAAGACAGCCTTTACTTCTACGGCTGCGACTCATGGGGTCTTTGTTGCTCTGCATGAAGGCGAGCTGAGGATGGTGATGGCAGAGTTTACAGGATGCAGAATGTGGAAAAAGTCCCGAGACGTGGGCATGAAACACTGCCACGTGGGAGGAATGCGCTTAAGGTTCTGGTCTGCAGTTGCAAACTGTAGGGAACCCTCGTTTATGAGTGTCTGAAGAAGGGGGTCCGCGATATTGATGCTGCGTCTTGCGGCTGACAGCCTCGTGGAGCGTGCAAGGCTGTGGAGGTGGGGCCCGATTGTTTTCCTGCTGAAGCTTAGATGGGTTTTCCTTTGTATTCTCGCGCCTCCTGCCGCAAATAGCCTAGTGTCAGTGGAGATACAGTGGAGATACGTGTTTGCGGCTGTGCTGAAAGCCAATGATGCGATGAAGGAATCTATACTTGCTCCTCCTATAAAATCCCGTCTCGCCTCGCTTGCCTCATATGGACTAGCGCCACGACAGGCTATGCTAAGACTCTAGTATGGAGTAGATTGATTGCATGCCTTCACGGCCACACCGACGTTTGTTGTGTCAATCCTTTTCGACGATCAGCTTCGAGGAAGGATATAAAGGCATGCTGCGCATTTGTGGAGAGGACTTACTCCTGACAATTGTGTTGCATCGCAGCCCAGAATCGGTACTTGTGTGGTCAAAACGTGCTCTATAAGATCAATACTTCTGGAAAATGGGTATATTTCACCACGACAGCAGCAGCAGCAGCAGCCATGCAAATCACACATGTCCCATAGAGTCGCTTTCAGAAGGCAAGTCCCACCATTTGGTGCCAAAAGACGGGACTAACTGTGGATGACAGTGGCCTCCCAGCCATTCGTACACAACATGTCATTCCATACCTTCAACATGATCCTGTCTGGGGCTTGTACGGTGTTCACTTGCCTGACGATCCTCACATTGATGTTTCTGCATGCAACTCATCTCAGCAAGCCCAAGGAACAGCTCAAGTATGTTGTCCTCCGCTGTCACCTTGACAATCCGTGCATTAACAGATCACAGGATCATGCGGATCTCCACACTGCTCCCTTTGTACTCAATCTTCTCATTTCTCGGAATCTGCTTCCCCGAGGTATATGTATATCTGGAGCCCTGGCTCGACGTGTTCCAGTCCGTGGCGCTGGGGATTTTCTACCTGCTGATGCTGGAGTTTTTGGCGCCGTCCATCTCCCGCGAAAAAAACATGTTCTTCGCGCCGTTGGCCATTCCGCCCAGTGGAAGTGAGTCTCCCGCTGAGAGTCTGAGTTGGTATCGAGTAAGTTCTTTTCTCCATCTTTTGGAATGTGACGGTGCTAACACAGGGCAGAAAACATGGATCGCTATCTTCCAGTACCCGGCCGTCGCGCTGTTGGCATCCCTCGTAACCGACATCACCCAAGCAGCCGGGGTCTACTGCATGGAAAGCAGCAAGCCCTACTTTGCACATCTATGGGTAAGTCCCCGCGCCCACCCTTTTGCTTCTCGTCCATGTTGCCAGTGATTGTCAGTCTAATCCAATCAAGATCACAATCTTCCTCAACCTGTCCCTCGTATCGGCCGTGTTTTCGGTGCTCAAATTCTACAAGAGCTTCAAGGTCCAGTTGAAGAACCACCAGCCTCTCGCCAAGCTGCTAGCCTTCAAGTTGATTGTCGGCTTGTCATTCCTCGAACGGGTAAGCCTGCCTGCCCCTTTCGCGCATGCAGTTCGTTCTAAAGGTGGAAGTAAGGCGGGACTGACAGACACTGCAACAGATCATTTTCTTCGCGCTCGGAGCGACAGACGTCCTCAAGCCGAACGCACAGCTCACCTACGCGGACGTGAACATTGGCATCCCGACGATGGTGATCTGCATCCAGATGGTGCCCTTTGCCCTGTTCTTCCACTACGCGTACTCCGTTCGGCCGTATGTCATCCACAAGACGTTACCGACGATCGAGGCGAGTTCGAATCCGGCGTATGAGGCGGTGACGCAGCTGCGGTATCGCGGGGGACCACTGGGGGTCCGGGCTTGGGTGGCGATGCTGGATGTGAGGGAGATCGCGGGTGCGATTCGGTTTGCGTTGTCGATGGTTCTTGGGGGTAAAGGAGTGGGGAGAGGGGAGGAGATGGACAAGCTTGGAGAGCGGTGATTTTCTGATTGTGGGTGGTTGTGCTGATTCCCTTTCCTTGGGTGCGGGTTTGTTATATGCTTAGATAGGCCTGCGCCAAAATGTGGGACTCGGGTTCTTTTGATTTGTGATATCGTTGGTTGGTTGGTAAGATGCCGATAGCGTTTGAGTAAGATTTCGGCTCCTTTCGAGAGACATATACTGTATTACATCACAGCCCGAGGTCTGGATCGTGTCTACAATGTACTTGCATGGTGACTTGCTCGTAGCACACAAGAGAGGCCACAACGAGGCTCTGGATCAACCCATTGGCTGCAATACTAGCGCGAATATGAAGCCCTAATCATCTAGCAGTAGCAAAGAATTGTCTTAAATGAAGGGACTTAAGGACAAATCCCTCAAAGCTGCATCGTCGTCAGCTGACGTACAGTACACCAGTGACGGGAACCACGGCTCGAATCATACATACGGCATTCATATTGGTCCGGAGTCAGTCACTCCTTATTGGGTTATCTGCGACTGATGTGATCATTCTGACGGATCTCGGGGATTTACGCGATATAGATACATAACGTGGGTTTATCTGAGCTTCATTGATCTCGGAAGCGGGATATGTAGGCTTTGACTTCAGGCCCTATGGAGATAAGTGGTGTCATGGTTGAGACTATACTTTGTAAGAGGCTTGTGGAGATGGTAGGTAGCATTGCCATACTACGTTCGCCATTGATTAAATGGGATTCTCTCTGACCTCACATTCATTTCTGATCTCTGTTCAAACTCAAATTTCTGGACTTTACGCCATCCTGTAGAATCCTTACCAGGAAATGCAGGTTCACGCTCCTAGTTGTCCTAAGCATAGTCAGTTCTAACACCCCTTGAACCTGTCAGTGAATGCCAATTCTTTAATCAAGGACCAGGGTTCCTCCATTACTCAATATTACCTCGCCATTGCCAGTGCGGGTTGTTGTGAAACTACAGCGCAATCACTCACCTGGAGCAGAATCTGGATCACGCCTTCTGCAAATACACCCTCGGAGAACCCAGACCTACCCAGACGCTCGCAAACCTCAGCCACCTCTTACTCCGACCTGACTATTCTACACCACACACACTTGTCCACTCTTCTCACCAATCGATCGCCACCGCAACCATGCCCTCAACCGCCATCCTCTTCGTCCCAGGCGCCTGGCACAGCCCAAGCTGCTTCAACCAGGTCATCGACCTCCTCCAATCCACCACAATCTACACCACCGACGTCGTCCACCTCCCATCCGTCGGTCCCGAGAACCACCACTACCTTCATGACTTCACCGTGGACGTCCAGCAAATCCGCACCCAGATCCTGCGCCTCGCCGCTGCCACCCACCGCATCCTCGTGTTCGCGCACTCCTACGGCGGCGTCGTCGCCAGCGAGGCCATTCAGCACCTGGACTTCGAGACCCGCCAGCAAGCAAACCTCCCCGGCGGCGTCACGCATCTCTTCCTGTGCTGCTCTTTCCTCATTCCCGAGGGCCGCTCGCTCAGGGACGCACTCGGCGGTCAAGACGCCCCCTGGGTGGAGGTCTCGGCGGATCGGATGGCGGCGATGCCTCGTAATCCGATCGAGGTGTTCTATCAGGATGTGCCGGAGACGGTGGCGCGCGCGGCCGTGGCGGAGCTGAAACCGCATAGCTATCGCACGTTTCTCAGCGTCTGTCGCTTTGCGGCGTGGAGGGTCGTGCAGATCACGTACCTTTATTGTGAAAGGGATCGGGCGATCCCGGTGGCGGTGCAGAAGCAAATGGTGGAGCAGGTCGGGCAGGGGCATGGTATTCGGACGGAGACGCTGGATGCTGGGCATAGTCCGTTTTTGTCGAGGGTGGAGAAGGTGGTTGCTGCGATTCGCGGAGCTGCTGAGCTTTGAGGTAGGATTTCAGGGTTGAATAGGTGGGTAGGAGGGGGCGAAAGGGGTTGGACTGGCAACTTGATGCATGCTTAGGTTGCTGAGGAAGAACACGGTATCTGAGGGATTATACCATCAATATCATAAGGGAATTTGCATGCACCATAAGGAAGTAAGACTTGTCAGTTCCAGTGCTTCGGATGGTAGATGAGGATGGACTTGATTGATGCAAACAGCTTCCAACGTCTGTGAACCATGCCTAGCCAGCCGCCTGAGTCAGTAAAAAACATGCTTCTGGGACAGCCACTCCCCCATCGGGTCGGACAGACCTTGGAGGCTGTGCGACAGCCCCGGTAATGCAGCTGCAGTGAGACCAATTGGAAAATAAGGTACTCGAACCCACTGCCGGAGGACAGTGTAACTCCGGGGTGGACGTTCTCTCAACAGCATCAACAGCATCATACGGTCTGATCCTATCTGCTAAAGCAAGTACAGGAGATTGAGGGAGTAATGTAGTCACTATATTCACATTCTCCGAGAGTATGTACAGCGGGCAGTGCTCAGCAGCCAAGGTCAGGTCATAGAGTGCTAGCCCTGATGTTGTCGGCCAACCGCATTGTCCAAAGGGACGGCAGCAACGCATTCCACCCTGGGATCAGATAGAAGATTATTGAGAAACTCGGAGAAAGGTCCAATTGTAGCAGACCTGCAATGCACAGCGACAGTGAACATATGGAGAAAGTTGAACTATACTAAGTATACCGTAAGAACCATAAGCTTAACCAACCACCGCCCACCGCGAGCTCGTATAGCAGGCCTGGGAGATGAGATGACGGTCTCACGAAAGAACCACAATTCGCCGATCATGACACCACTTCGGAACAACCAGGAAAGACTCTGTTTCTCCGAGGGTGTTGGACTTGAGGGGGCAATCGAAAATCCGGGTCCAACCATCAGCGGCGTTCAGCCAGACCCATTTCTCTCCCAATGCACTCGCTTCTTCCCCGCAGCATGAACCTCAACAGCTTCAATGCAGCATTTCCCCTTCTTCTTCCCAGAATCAACCAGCCTACTCATTCCTCTTTCGAGGTCAACAAGGAGAGAAAAGGCATGGAAACCTCCTCCCACTCAACGGAAATCGACCTGGAGTCACTACCCAGCGACGCCTTCGAAGTGCGCTGGGCCCCCGAAGACGCCCCAGCGAACCCGCATTGTCTCGCACCGCGGCGTAAATGGGCGATTGAGCTCCTCATCTGCTCCACCACTCTTTGCATTACCGTCACCAGTTCCCTGTATGTCAGCACCTACCACCAGATCACCGAGGAGCTGCGCTGCTCGCGCATCGTCGCCACCCTGGGGCTGAGCCTGTTCATCGGCGGGCTGGGCTGGGGGCCCCTGGTGCTCTCGCCGCTGTCAGAGTTCTATGGAAGACGCCCAATCTTTCGCATCTCGCTGCCGCTGTTTGTCCTCTTCCTGGTCCCCTGCGCGGTCGCCCGCAACATCGAGACGATGCTGGTGGCGCGGTTGCTGACCGGGTTAGCCGGGGCGGCGTTCACCAGCGTGGCGGGCGCGACGGTAGGGGATCTGTATACCAGGGAGAAGTTGCATTTTCCGATGCTGGTGTATACGGCGTCGCCTTTGTGCGTTCTCCATCCTGATCAATGGGCAGGGGTAGTTGTGGCGGAGGAAGGGAAACTGACTGATGGCTGATGGCGAAATGGTAGCACCGGATCAAGTTTCGGACCTATGCTTGGGGGACTGATTAATTCATTTGCGTCATGGTGAGTAGAGTCCAGCCAGCCGACTTCTGGACAATGAGTCTCACATGGACCTGCTTCTTGAGTAAAGGCGTTGGTCGTTCTACATTCTCCTCATCTGGTCCTCCATCCAATGCCTCCTCGTCCTCTGCTTCGTGCCGGAGACCTACCACCCCGTCCTCCTCCGGAGCAAAGCTCGCCGTCTTCGCAAGGAAACGGGGGATGAGCGATGGAAGGCACCGATCGAGCGGTTGGATCGGTCGATCTTGATGGTGCGTATTCCTCGGGTTTCTCCTTCGTTTTAGGGCTTGCTCTATGCAACTCGGCTAATTTTCCAGACCGTTCTCCGCTCCCTTTACCGTCCCTTCATGCTCCTCTTCCTCGAACCCATGTGCCTGAATCTTTGCCTCCTCTCAGCCATTGCTCTGGGCATTCAGTATCTATTCTTCGGCTCGTTTAAGATTATCTTCGGCACGGTCTACAGTTGGGGGCTGTGGCAGTCTGGCCTCGCGTTTGCGGGCATCACGACCGGGATGGTCGCTGCGGTGGTTGCAGATCCTTGGTATGAATCTTTGCCCCTGTCCGGAGTGAGTGTTCTGATACCTTTGATGGTAGGTGTCGCAGGTCGTATTTTCGGATGAACATCCTGCAGCAGATTGACGAGACGGACCCCGAGCGACGACTACCACCGGCGGTGATCGGGGCGCCGCTGTTGACAGTGGGGTTGTTCTGGTTTGCTTGGACGGCGTGAGATTTCTCCTCCGTGCTTTCTTGCCTCTTGTGCAAAGAGTATGTCGGAGCCAATGTTGACCGTGCAGCAGACTGCCTTCGGTGCATTGGGCGATCCCTATAATCGGGAGTTCCTTGTTTGGAGCAGGGTAAAGTATACCTATACCTCGAGCCTTGTCTGAGGTTCTTCCTGCGGTGACGTGCTAGGACACAGCTGATGACAGGCATTCAATGCAGAATGATCCTGGTTTACGCGGGCGTCTTCACCTTCCTGGTGGATGCATATCCTGTGTACGCTGCCAGTGCCCTGGGGGCCAATAGCTTCACGCGCAGTACTTTTGCCGCTGCGTTCCCCTTGTTCGGGTATCCGAGTAAGCTTGCGATTGATACACGAAGCCGGGTTGCTCAAGAGGATAACAAGCTATCAGTGTATCACACGCTGGGCAACCAGTGGGCGACCTCCTTGCTGGCGTTTCTGAGTCTGGTGATGGCTCCATTCCCGTGAGTGTTGCGCTCTGCAGCTGGTGCCTGGTGGCTGACTTTGACGGTGATAGGTATATCTTCTTCAGATACGGCAAGAGAATCCGACAGAGGAGTCGGTTTGCCACGCGGAAGTAGGGTTACCGCAGTAAGAGCTGAGCTATCAGTGTGCACCCCAGTGAGGGGGTTGCGGGCAATCACTATAGAAGATATAGACATATCTCAATTCATGACTCATTACTACTTCAAGTACAGTACATGCACCACCCGAGCACTTCCTCCCTCCCCCCAACTATACGCCTTCCGTTCTCAATTCACCAGCGTAGCCGTCACGGTGGCGTGGAAATCCCGACTACTGAACCCAGCGCGGAAGGTAAACCGTCCCAAGGGAATGCGCCACTCCTGCGCCACCACATCCCAGTAGCTGACATCACGCCGTGCGAGGTCAAACGTGACCGTCTTGGTCTGTCCCGCAGGCACCCAGATCTTGTCGAATCCACGCAGCTGGCTCGGGGGTGTCCCCGCGGGCGCCGAGTCGGGGAATCCCACGTACAGCTGCGGAATGGCATAGCCGTCCACGCCGCCGGTGTTGCTCACCTGAGCGCTTAGGGTGTACACCGTCTCCCAGAGAGCGGGATTTCCGCCTGGTTGAATGGGCTGGGTCACGGGCAAGGCCGTGAGGTTGGTTCTGGGCGTCGTGGTGTGCAATGCGCTCAGGTTGAAGGTGGTGTAGCTGAGGCCAAAGCCGAACTCATAGCGCACGGGAATGTCGTGAGCATCGAAGTAGCGGTATCCGACCTCCAGTCCTTCATCAAACCAGCTCTGCCAGTCGTAGGTTCCGTTGGTCTGCACCGCGGTGGTAACGGGGGCGTTGTAGTCCGAGGCGTTGTAGGCGATCACGTAGGGCAACTTGGCCGATGGGTTCACCTCGCCGTACAGGAGGTCCACCAGGGAATTGCCTGACTCTTCGCCGGGGTAGTGCGCCGCCAGAATGGCCGTCACGTTGGGGTGATCGGCGAAGGGCAGCAGGTTGATGCCCGCCGAGTGGGTGACCACCACCGTGTTGTTGCAGTCGCGCGCCACGGCCTCCACCACCGCGGGCCCATCCCAGTCCAGTTCCAGCGAGCTCCGGTCCTCGTTCTCCTGCGACCAGCTCTTCAGAAACACCAGACACACGTCCGGTTGCTGCGGGTTCCACAGTGAGGATAGCCCCGAGGTGGTGATCAGGGTGTTGTTTAGCCACGACTGCACCAGCGCCCCGTCCCGCCGGGCCCGCGCCGTGATCGCCTCCAGCGGCGTCGACAGGAAGCTGAACCGACAGGTGCCCGATCCGCCGGCGTTGGCCAGCGTTCCGTACTCAAAGTCATTCTGGTTCGAGGCTCCCTGCGTCATGGGACCGGCGTCATTGCCAACAATCACAATGTTCCGCGGCTTGCGCAGCGGCAGAGCGTTACGCTCGTTCTTCAACAATACGGTCGAGGCCGCGCCATGTGCACGGATTAGCCGGCTGTGGTTGCCGCGCACGTCGCGGTTCTGCTCGCCCGTGAACTGCCAGTCGTACAGCCAGGTGTCCGGGGGCGAATCGATGTTAAGCGGGCCGACGGAGGCATCGACGCTGGGGTAGGAGGGATTGTCCTGGCCCAGCCAAAAGTACGGAGTCATGATGCGCACGATCATGTCGTCCAGGCGAGTGGTGGCGATGGAGCCGTTGCGAACCGCCGTGGTCAGGTTCTGGCCGAAGTAGGAGCCCTCAGTCCACAGCTCGCCGTAGACGGTGAACCCACCGGGCATGGTCATGTCCATGCCGCTCTCAATTGAGGCGACGCCACTGTGGGTAGCGCCCCAGTCGGACATGACGTAGCCCTGGAAGCCCAGCTCGGTTTTAAGCAGGTGGTTCAGCGCGTATGAGTTCTGGCAGGCGTGCGACCCGTTGATGCGGTTGTAGGAGCACATGACGCTGGCGACGCGGGCGCGGAGGGCGTTGGCGAAGGGCCACATGTAGATCTCGTGCATTGTGCGGTCATCCAGATTGGAGGAGACCGAGTCCTGGATGTAGGTCGTCGCGTTGGCGTTGGGAGCGTAGGTCGGGTTGCGCTGGGTCTCCTGCTCGTAAGCGATCCAGTGCTTGGCGTTGGCCTGCACGCCTTCGTCCTGAATGCCCCGAATCGTCTCCTCCATGCACACCCCGGTCAGGTACGGGTCGGCGGCGAACCCTTCCCAGGTGCGGCCGTTGTACGCACTGCGCCCCAAGGGGCCGCCGATGGGGCCCAGCACCACGTGTGTCCCCTTGGCTTTGTGCTCCTGCGCGATTGCCTGTCCGCGCGTGTACAGCAGGTCGCGGTCCCAGCTGGCGGCCGCGGAGACCCCACTGACAAAGACGCTCGAGTAGTCGCCCTGCTCCAGGCACTGTGGTCCGTTCTGCAGACAGAGTCCCGTGAAGTTGAGCCGTGGGATGGGCAGCACGTTGCCGACGCAAGGGCCCGGTTGGCCGGTGGCCATCCAGGTTTTCTCTTCCAGAGTCAGTTGGGAGACCCAGTGTCTGGCCTTGGCCAGCGCCTGATCCCATCCGCCAAGTCCGGTGATATTGGCTGAGCGGAGAGAGAGTCAGTTCAGGGGGAAGGAGCTGCAAAAGTAGAGGGACTAATGTAATAAGGGCCAGGGAGGACCTACGGGAAGGATAGACCGCCGGGGAAGAGCCGTAGGGCGTTAGGATGGTGGTGTTGAGTTGCTGCACATTGCTGAAGGGCTTGCCAGGATGATTGATTGGGGCCTGGCAAGTGCTTGCATGCGCCGAGGGAGCCAGCAGCGCCCCCGAGAGGAGGAAGACGTAGTCAGTTGAGACCTTCATCGCAGGTAAGAACTGAGGTCGCCGTTGAGGACTGGGTTCGAATGCAACGAGACGTCCCCGGCACCTATTTTATACCTCGAACTTGGCACTGGCTGTAACCACCAACCGGAAGAATACGGAGAAGCGGTATTGCATTGTTCCATCGCATCATCATCAACATCACCATCCTCCTCCTCATTAGGGCTCGGGATGAAGTGCAAAACCGGGGATCGGCCTCGTGCCGAGTCCTCGACCCCAACCAACCCCAACCGACCCCAACGCTCCACAAATCCCACCCGTGCAGTTGCGGGGATTGCCAATGACCCCATGTACGCAGTGATCATTCGATGTGCCGAAGTTTTGCCGAGAGGAATTTCCCTGGCGCGCTCGATGACGTAGATGGGTTAATTGTTAAGTGAGTCGGTGATCCTACGGCTACGGGCTCGGTCCGATTACCGGAGGGTTGTTGCTGATGCGGCATTCCCTGCTTGCAAGTGGACAACAGCCTTGATTTTCGACAGGCATCATGAGCAGCGTATTGGAAAGGGTGGGGCGTTATGGAGGAGTAAACCGGAGGCATCAAGGCACCACACAAGTGTACGATGTATACGATGTAGATAGATGATGTATAAGATGTATAAGATGATATTCATGATTAATTCATTTTTTTTCTTCGTTTTCTGGTTGGCTTGAATTGTTCTGTGTGGTCCCACCAAAAGGGTACTTAATAGTGAATCAATCGGAGTTTTCTCCCTCTAAGGAAATCACCAGGAGGCCCTTAGGAGGGTGAGGGTACAACACTCACCGTAACTTCACCTTCTCGCCCACTTCTATACTCGACCTCGGCTTCCCGGAGGAACAGTTTGTCGATCACCCGGAACCAATCACCAGGGAAGAAGTATAGATCGTCTTCACTACAGAGGTGTTGGCTAAGCTGAACCCCTCGTCCACGGTCTATCACGATCTCTTGCATTTGGTATCCAATAACTTTTGGTCCTGGTTCGTTAACAGTGACGGTAAGTGCATCCCTTCGGCCAGCGTCGGGGCTATGCAGGCGTTCCCCTTTGGCAGAGAGACCACTGATGACCTTGATACCAGTCACCATATACAATGTACATCTGCCGTCGTGTTCCTCCAGCAATGCTTGAATAGCGGGATCCGTCAGGCGGTTCTGGACTGTTTGCTGGGTGGGCATGATACGGAATGCGTAGTCGGCAATCCTGTCGATGCTAAATCTCAGCGCCCAGGTCACATTTCCCTCATGCACAAGAGCCTCCACGGGGATCTCCCGAGTCTCAGGTGGAAGGTTTCGGTCTGATGATATTCTACTATAAAAGTCATTCAACCGCTGCCGATGCTCATACGATCCTGAATAATTCTCCTCAAGCTCGGCCGCCGTGACTGTTGTGAGCGGTCGATGGGGCTCGCTAGGATCTGTTAAGATATTGCCTAAGCGAATCAGGCCGTCGGGAGCGTGATCTAGCTTCTCGACCAGCGCCCAGCTGTTGGGTATTCTTGTAGTGTCTAAGTCATCTACCAAGAATGCAATGCTCAGGATGGATGGGATCCGGGTTGATGTCATGGTGAGGTTGGTGAGGCTGTTGATTGTTGGGTTGAAGAATTGCAGTAGGTAGCGATATGATGCGCTTTAAATACCTCCCCGAAAATACGAAAATACGAACTGAAGCACCCACTTGACCTGATCACGCTTTGATATTTGTTGGGTCCCGGCGAGCACCGTTTCCATTATCTCCGTGCCATAGGACTACTTCTTGGCTTCCTTTACTGGCCCAGTCTCATCTCAATGGATTTAGTTGAAGGGTACTTTTCTACGCTGAGAGAACTCATCGAGGACCCCCAAGCGGTTCTTTGTCCCTTTTCAAGCACTGATAGCACAATGGAAGATGGATTGTCTCACAAAAGAGCAAGCTGCCACGTCGCTACCACTTCTTTTTCTCCGTGCATTTGGACCGCCGGCCAGCTCAAACCGGTCTCCCTGCGAGGCATGTCCGGACTCATACTGTTAAACTTTGACTGCAGGAATCTCCTGCATGCCCTTGTCAATCAGCTGACTCCACGTCTACCAAGCAACTGCCATGGCTCTCGCTAGGCACGCTGCCACGACGTCCGATTCCTATTCACCCCTGCAGACTTGGGCCGGTAAGTAGCACTGGAGACAGGACGGTACCTTCAGGCGGATGTGTATAGTGTTGGGATGAGGTCTAACATGATTGGTAGTAGAGACGAGGATGACGACGGAAAGGCATGAAGAAAATATCTGCGAGAATAAGGTGCCTAATCGAGTTTCCATAGACTCGACACCTAGGGATATAGGACTTGGCAATGCAGTCGACTTTCCCATACATGTAATCAGTCATCGAAGCTGGCTTCAAGCCGGGGAATCCTCGACCCCAACCCTGACACTCCACAAAACCCACCCGTGCGGCGGTTGCGGGGATCGTCAATGGCCTCACATTTCCTCTCCACTCTCCATATAGTTGTTAGTATAGTTCATTTACCGAAGCTTTGCTGAGAGACAATTTCCTGATACGTTCGATGATATTGAAGATAGATAGATAGGGTAATTGGTACAGTATGCGTATGGTAATAACCGGTGAATCGTTAAGTATACATACTTGTTACTTTTCCAGGAGTGGGAGAAGGTGGTACGGTGCTGTACTCATCGGTCACAATTAGTCACAATGTAAGTGTGACCCTTATAATCGGCATATAACCCTTGTCCACAAGGAATGTGCCTTTACAAGTAGAATGGATGGTAAGCTCCCAGGACTCAGCACGTCTGATAACCGGAGGGGTTGCTGATTGATTGCCGGATGCGGTGGAAAGTATTGTAAGTATTGTATATAAGTTCATAATTGGTTCATTCTTTGGATTTTTGAAATCTGCCTTTTTGGGTCATACCAAAGTACCATGAACCATGATACTAAAAGCTCAAGGTACCGAACGAGGTTTGTCTCGTCAGAAAGAGGAGGAGGAGGAGGAGGGTAAAACGCGCTGGGCTGTAACTTCACCTTCTTGTCTTCTCCTATACTCAGCCTCAGTTTCCCGGGAAAGCACTTTGTGTCCGAACATAGCCCAGGTGTCTGGAAAGAAGTGTGGGTCGAGCATATCAGGGCGGTGAACGTTGAGCATAACCCTTTGTGCAGGGTGTATTACAATCTCGAGCACTTGGTAGGCGATAATCACCGGACCAGGGTTAATAATGGCGATGTCCAAAGTATCCCAAGGACGACCCTCCTCCGGATAGTGATACCGTTTCCCCTTAATAGAGAGCCCATGGGCGACCATAATAGCGTTCACTAGATACAGCTTACAGTGGCCGCCATGTTGCTCCAGCAGCGCTTGAATAGTAGGGTCCCTCATCAGGGTGGCCTGGACTGTCTCCTCCCTGGGAATTATTGGGGAGAAGCAACAGTCCTGGAGACCCTCAATGTCCAGATTTGTGCACCAAATCGCTGATCCCTCATGCGGACGAGCCCACGGGGGGATCTCCTCTCCCGGTGGGAAAGCTAGGTTTCGAGTCCATGAACCATAAGCGTGTGTATACCCCTGCATATCACTTGCACAAATTGCTAGCGAGTTCTCTTGCGCCTCGTCAGCTGCCGGAATCCTTGTAAGCGGCCGATGAGGCTCGCTAGGATTCACAAGTATATTGCCCACCCGAATCAGGCCTTCGGGAGCGTGGTCAAGGCTCGGAACCAGCGCCCACGAGGGGGACATTTCGCGATGGGGAGAAGGCATGATGGATGGAATTTTAGTTGCTGCTGTGGTGAGGTAGGTAAGTCGGTGGGTTGAAAGATTATAGTAGTAGGTAGTGATATCAGGCAGTATAAATACCTTTTCTGTAATACCAATGCAACATTTTCTTTGATCTAACCATGCTTTATAACGTTTGTAAGATTACAGCAAGCACCGGTTCCACTATCTCTGGACTATAGTACTACTTACTACTCAATCCCTGTTTTCTTTAGCTTAGAAGAATTTCGCTAGTTAGTTCCTCAACCCCTGGGTCTCTAGGATCTGCTTTCCGCTCCGTGTCTTTCACTGCCCCAGTTTCATTCTAGAGAGAATTGAAGGGTACTCTTCAGTGCATTGTTTGAAATTCCCTGGTCTTTGTGGCGGTACCTGGGATACTGGGAACGAAACAAACCCTCGAGATCCGAACCATGACAACCAACATACAGGCTGCCAATATCAGCATCCCCTCCAAGATCAATGTAGTGCTGGGATTCCTGTGATAATTGGATTGTACTTTACTCTTGCTCATTCATTGTTCTATGTATCTCTTTTTGGAATCAATGTTCAGTTCTTAGTGTAAGTCTTTCGCAGCCAGCCATGGTGTTGACTATGCCGTGGCCCTTGGGGGTCAAATCTTGGTGCTTACCCTACTCTAAACTCGGGCTCTTGAAGAAGATAGCTCCAGCTCACTTGTTGTAACCTTCTTCAATTGCTGTAGCACCCCGGCGAGCAATCAGTCCCGAAGGGATCATCCAGGAACCCAATGCACAAGGGGGAGTGTAGTGCTCCCTAGCTTTGATCTCCCCGGTGCGGCCCATGACAATCTCGACCAGCTCTTAGCTGAGGGCTGGTCATCCTGAAAATCTTGATATGTGACAGGGGGGTTCCTGCCTCTCCGGAGGGAGTGTGAACTAACCAGAGATTATACTGACCAGTTTCTTGCTTTAGATCTGTCTGGATGGGATACGCAAGACAGATTATAAAGTCCAAAAGAAAGAAAAAGGAGTAGCGAAGAGATGAGGAGGGAAGGCCAAAGAAAGGCAACTATGCCGGGCTAGCAATGCTCTCCCATCTACCATCTACACAAATACTGACGAGCAGAAAGGCTCGTGGAAATCTTCCTGCGGCAGCAATATGTATGGAGAAGGAGGAAGGGCTGTAGTGCGATTCACTCAGACTGTTCATCTACAGTGAACGCACCGCACCCTTTGTTCTTCTATGTTCTAATACCAGCCCCATTCACACTTTCTACATGGGGTCAACCATTTCCAAAATCTCTTCCATGTGGCCATAAGCCAGAACCACATACCGTACACATCTCACACCTCCTCTGTTCCTCCCCCACGAACACGATTCTCTACCTCTACCGATCTCCTGTCCCTCTTCGCAACACACGAGAACATACCGAAACGATCAACCGAGATGGCAAGCATCGGCTGCCGAGAAGAATTGAAGACCGACACAGCAGAACTAGCCAGGTAGGCGACCGGAAAGATGGCTTAAACTCTCCCAGTCAATCAGGGACTGGGATCAGTCTGGACTCAGCAACCTTCAAGCCAAGAGCGCGATAGACATTCCGCTGACATGAACGTTTTGTGGCAGGGATATCTTGCTGCGTCCGGCACCTGAGGCTTGCGATATGCCTGCAACCCCTCCTCCTTGTCATGAGAGCCGTTCGAGTGGACTGAACACTAGCCATACCAAAATAGACCTCAGCTCTCATGTCGAACCTATCAAGATTCCCTTCCCCAGGAAATCTATTGACAAAGGAAAGAAAGAAGTGGCTCAGGGCTACCACTTGCGTTTGTCCCGGTTGCTCCGAGAACTGTCTTCAGAGTCCATGGGCAGAGAAATCCAAGTCGCTGTAATTGACTCGGGCTGCATGATACCCCCAGGAGAATTTCCGCAGCTTGCCGGGTTTGAAGATCTAGTTAGGGGTGGGACGGTGTGTCTTGACAAGAACGGACACGGGACTGAGATCGTCAGCCTCATGACGAGCCTTTCTTCTACCATCAAAGTGCAGGTGAAACGCATAGGCGATGGAGGCGCTGACCTTGAAGTTGGGGGTCAGATAATAGCTGATGTATGGCTTCCCCCCCCCCCCCCCCCAACCCTCTTTTGGACCTTAATGCAACATCGCCATACTGAATCAGCGTAAGGCAATTCGGCAGGCCGCTGAGGACCCTCGGAACGACATCATTTGCATGGCGTTTTACGTACCAGAAGATGATCGAATCAGTCGGGCTATAGACGAGGCCGTCAGACATCGCAACGGACACATTCTATTTATTGCAGCGGCAACCGCAGCGAAGTGCTCGGAGGTCATGTTTCCTGCCAGTCATCGATACGTGATAGCCGCCCGTCCTCTAGATCTAACAGGATCGCTATGGTCAGATCAGCCGCTGGTCCGCAAGTCGCCACGCGAGGTAGTCATCGAGACACTGGGCGAGTGCGTGCCAGTCGCAGATTCCAAACAGATCAAGGTTTATAGGTCCGGCTCATCAATAGCAGCTGCCATCCTGGTCGTCATTGCAGCCACTCTATTGGAATCTGTTGATCTGGGTAACAATCTGGAAACAAAGGAGGGGATGGAGGCTGCGCTGCGAGGTCTGGCTAAAGTATGGGGGAAGGAGGCTGAAGTTGGGGGACCACAGACTAGCTTGTTGGAGGTGCTTGATGCAACTGAGTGAGCCATGCCAAGTACAGTACATACTGTACCAACAATCTGTACGATCTTCCGAATATCAATTCTGGGGCAAGGGACACAGCGCGATAGTCTACCTCTACAAGGCCGTGCCATGAGCTAGAGGAATACAAGAGCTACGCAGGGTAGGAATAGACAAATGTGACCATATATAGATAATGTCATAAAACCTCACTTGTGTTTTTACTAAGTCGCCGAATGAGGAGTAAAAGGCTAGTTTCCGGTCTCGGTATCGGTCTCGGTCTCCTCCAACGCAGATAGCAAGATCTGCCAACCTTGGGCACGCCAGTCTTCAGAGGTCATCTCATCAATGCGCACAGCCAGACCTCGACCACTTCCAGTCTCTTCATCCTCATCACCATTGTTAGCCCTGTCGTCATCGACCGACGCAAATGCTGCTGGCGAGCGGTGAATCTGCGTCTGAGTCCGGCCTTCCTGGTCGAGGGTGAGTCTGTGTAGTTGATAGGCAAGGAGGATGTTGTTGCGCTCATGGTCGGTGCCGGTTGCTTTGTGTTCGGGGGTTTCCAGAGCCCCCGCAAGATGCATGGATGGGGCCACCAAAAGCCCGTCAACCCTCGCTCCAAGGTTCGTCTGGGACTGCCGGTCCCTCGCAAAGCGATGGCGAAATTTTCTCGCGATCATGATCCCGGAAACGATGTACACTGGCCTGCCGGAGATCAGGTGGCCAAGGATCGGCTGTCGCTCAAGTAAAGTGCTGAGTTCGACCCAGGGGAAAGTCGATGCGAGCTTGCGCGTCCGTAGGCCCACTGCGCTATGGTCCGAGAATTGGCGGGGACTTCTTCGGAACGACAGCACGAACACTAGAAGACGAAGGTCCAGCTCCAAAGTCGATTCGAGTGCAGACGTAAGCGAGTAGTTGCCTTCAGGATCTTCGTCTTCAGTCGTTGGGAAGCTGGTCAAGTCCTCGGGTCTGACCCGCTGGAGGGGACTGTCAGGCGAATGGGGGTCGGTGATGATATTCCCCAGAGCAATGTGGCTCGAGACTGGTGATTCAATTGATGGGGCAATTAGCCAAGCGCCAGAAACAGACATGGTTGGAAAATCTGAAAAAAAATCAAAAAGGGGGTCTGGGTTAGACTGAACGGTCAATGAAGCCTAATGGTTTTGCTGGCAAGGAGGGAAGTGGATGTCAAAACACAGGTACTCAAGCTCCCTTTATCTTTCGACATGATCATCTTAGAAAGAACCTCTGATCGTTGACTGTTCTGAGGGTCAAGAGGGGTGGAGGTTCCTGGGCCTAGGTCAGTTACCCCCCCTTCCGAGTTCGACACTCAACGTGGCCAGTGCATAGAGCGGATGTGTTACACAAGTTGCTTGCTATCCGCGCGTAGACTCACAACAACAAAAAAAAAATACCAAGCTCATCCTGGGCATCTCAAGAGGCAGATGGTGCCACATTGTTGAATGGCCGTTTGAGGTCGTAGCCGTGGATGCCTGCAGGAGGAATCCCGCCCTGGAAGGGCTCTTGACAAAGAAAGAAGAAGCCAGTGCCCGTGGAGCTAAGGGTCTTTCCAACCTGAGCACAAGGCAGGGACCTGCTAGAATCCTGTCAGACAGCTGCGTATGCATATACCCTTAACGCAAACGCTTCCTACAGAATGTCGCCACCGTGGGAAATATGGAGGAGACTCACCTCACCTTCAGGGTTGGGGTAGCACCGAGCACACGGACGGGAATTTGCGGTCCCCTTTCCCCTTTGAAATCTTCGCAGAAGCAAACAAGATCCTGTTTGCTTTGCAGGCAGTGCCATCATTGTTGAGAGAAAGGCGTCAGTGAGCAGAGATGAGGATCAAGGGAAAGGCAAGTTGCATGTCGCCCGTCGGCCACACCGGCGATGAGCTTCAAGGTTGGGCCGATATCTCGCCCATTCTCCCCGTTGATGAAACGGCGAAGCTGTCCCTACGCTTTTCAACCGCTTCTAGATGGCACTGCCTAGCCTTTCCAACCAAAATGAGTTGCTTCACAGACGCAACGATGGCATGATACCACCCCCCCCCCCCAACGGCAGCCTACAGGCACCCCGCATCTCGACGTGACTTGAGTCTCTTCTTCCTTCGACAAACAATCTGGTTTCAATTTCGGGGCAGTGCTGTTGTCGTGGACCTCCGTCATTACCTTCTCTTCCAATCGGAGTCTCCAGGGGTTGGTGAAATGAGGGTCTGAGCTAGGAACATCGCCATGAAAGGGAAACCGGACGTGATCAAGCCAGATCTCAGGGATAATCTAGTTTCCTTGAGACTGAACAGGGTCTTCAGAGCTACGAAGCATGTCTCTCTCATCTGTTGCGGATGTTTCCAAGATCCAACTTCGAACAGGGTTGTCGATGGGATCGCCTGGCTGTATGCATCCTCACAAGCGACACACAAAACACTGATCCGTCTACCTCAATCGTCAGCTGTCTATACCTATACCCACACTACCCATACAACACACACGCGTTCCGATCGAGCTTCCGCACAGTGGCAATTACGCGAGGGTGCGTGCCCTCGTTGGGGGTTAGGCCGGCTGTCGCCGCGGTGCTTCGTACAACCCCCCCTGAATGATGTTCTGAGGTTAATGATATCGTCCTGTGGCATAGGTCCTTCAACACCTCTCTTACTCGCTCTCTGGCAGATGTTCTGCGATCAACCTTTCCCCAAAATCAGTCTTCAACCTTCCGTGTGTTTCTACAGACGAATTCCCCGCCGAGCACGGCCTCCGATCATGGAAACAATCAATCTTCACGGACGCAATCCGGTCAGAATGTCAGGCCTAGGCGGCACAGAGACTTGTCCCGTGGCGGACAAGACAACAGTCCCCGTGTTATTGCTGTGGTGCTGGAACACATTCTTGGAACGCGGCTCGATGAGGCCTGATGAGGCCTGGGAGACTTTGGATTCCAGTCAGACGCGCTCCATCGCGAGGCAGCTTGATTCCTACCTGCACCAACTTCGTCATCTCCAAGGGATTACATTTGACATCTGGATCACGGCCAAGCCTTCATCGGGCTGCGAGCGTCAATTCACCGCGTTCATTCTTGACGATCTTGTGAAACTACCAGACCTCCTACGTCACTTTCAGGGCATGCTTTGACGGGCAACGATGAGATTTGCTTCATTTCATACTCACGGCCCCCTGGAATATCTTGGTGGAAGGGAACAAGGTCACGGCTGTTCATGACAGGAAGATGCTGGCTGAGATCCCGATCACTGGGAATGCTCCAGAGGCCATGCAGCACCTCGAGCCCATGCTTGACTGGCCATATACCTGTCGATCAATCTCCCACCGCGATACGAAACCGCACCCCTGGGCATGGCCTTTCCTCCTCGTCCGCTGCGCCACTGATCGTTTGGAGATTGACTTCTATCTGGTCTCACTCGCCACATACTCCGCCCAGACCTGTTTGATATCATTCTTGTAGATCCAGTCTAACGAATCCGCCCCGGCGCCTCCAAACGATGCGACACGGGCCTTGATGACGGTGTCGAAGTCTCCATTCAGCGCTCGAGCCTTCTTCGCATCGCTCGCCTTCCGATCGAGATAGTCATACCTGCGACGAACATCCTGTCAGCCACATTACCCTCTTCGGCGCCAGGCAGAGGGTAGAGAAGTCACGTGCATCTGCTCATAGTACGGCGCCCGGATCTGCTGGAAGATCCCGAGCGCATCCTTGATGGTGGTGTTCGAGGTGATGGTATGCTCAATTGCCCGGGCCAGAATCCATCCATCCTCCATCGCAAACGCGGCCCCCGACCCAAAGGCACCGGACAGTGGGTGGCTGGCGTCCCCGATCAAAGCCACTTTATCCCAGCCTTGGATCTCCTGAAGACACGGGCCAGCGGCCATCGCGAATTCTCGCCAGTCCCCTTCCGGGACCACATCCAAAACGGCCTGGATCCGTGGATCATACTCCTGTGTTTTTTCCTTTGGGTGAGTTCACGTCGCCGGAACGAGTGGGCGAGAGGGTCCGGGGGTATCTGTACGCACCTCACACCGAGCGCGCACGCGGTCGTTGGTCGATGGAATGGCCCAGGTTGCGGTTCGGCCGGGCACCTCGGGCTCGTTGAAGGACCGGACGGTGATCTCACACAGCTCACGGTCGGGCTCGTCGTCGACATGCGAGAAGTAGAAGTAGCCGTTGAGGCCATGCCACCATCCGGTGGAGGTGGGAAACTCGGCGACATGGCGGATGGCGGCGACTGGCACCAGAACACGCCACGCGGTGACTCCTGGGAGAGTTGCTTCTGTTTAACCAGGCCCGTGACGTCGTTGCAAGTACTGTCAGGCTGAGTGTGAGTCACTCACCAGTGAAATGCAAATGGTGGTCGGGGAACAATGTCTGTCGTACGACCTATAGTTAGGGCAAGGTCAGTGCCCACTGCCCACACTTTCACCTCTGTTGGACTGGCCAAGTCTCACCGAACGAATCCCGTCTGCCCCGACCACTAGATCCGCGGTCGCTACGGTCGCATCTTGGAACTGCAAACGAACCCCGTCCTCCCCGTCTTCCCCGCCAAGATCCGTCAGAGAAATCAGCTTCTTGTTGAAGCGGATGGTGTTGGCGGGAACCCTGGCGAGCAAGGCGGCTTGCAGGCGGGTCCTCCGAGCCCTGATGGATTCATACTTGGCCTCCTCGGGGCTGAGGGGAGTAGGCGTTGCGCGTGGAACGACCGGTTCGCCCGTGCGACCATTGCTGCGAGCTCGGTTTCAGCCATCATGTCGGAGTAGTTAGGGCAAGGAGGCGCACCGACCGTTGGAAGGGGGTTTGTTTCTTTGCCCCCTTGACCCCGTCGGCAGCGCCCAGCAACTCCAGCACATTCCAGCCATTGCGGCCGATGCTGATGCCAGCCCCGACCTCCCGAGGCTCGGAGGCTCGTTCGTAGACGGTGACGGAGACGTAGGGGAGCTCCGAAAGGGCGATGGCAGTCGCTAATCCCCCTGGTCCGGCCCCTACGATGGCCACGTTGATGTGTTTCCGGGCTACCATGTTGAGTTGGGTGTTCTAGAGCCGGGCAGACGTTGGTTCAGTGATGGCAGTGGCGTCCTGGGGCATATTGGTGGCCTTTCTGGTGTATTTAATCGCCGGTGATGGATGGTGCTTATCACCGAAGCCCCGCTTGCGGGCGAGATTCGCCATCCCTCAACTGTATGAGGAATGAGGAATGTCTTATCATGCACGCATGCACCACTCCGGAGGCCCATGGCGCCATCCGTTGCCTGATGAGTGACATTATTGGATGGAAAGCCATTTTCGCAGGTCTTATGTGAGCTCTAGTGTCATGCATCTCAGGTGTTCGCCTTATTCTTGCATGGTGTCTGCATCGGTGACCATGCCGTCTATCCAGACTCATCACTTCGACTAGACTTGTTGCACTAGAAACATGCCCAGCCCATTCTTAATAAGTACAGTACATGTGAATCTACATTGACCAGTGCCCTTCCTCCTTGATTGATCATGAGCATCACCATAAGCATCATTTAGGTTGAACCGTCCTTAGGTTCCCCCCCACAAACCTTCTACACCAGGCTCAAGGCGTCACTCCCCGGCACAACAAATACCTCCCAATCATTCAAGTCGGAGAACCGACCCATCTTCCGATCCTCCGTAGTGTGCAGCTGAAAGTCCCGCCGTTGCCAGACGCCCTCAATGACCGCACGCATTCGCGCAACGCTAGACACACTCGTTTTGGCCATTTCCATCAGCAGTCGCAGGACCAGCCGTCGGCCACCGTTCTCGCCCGCGATGCTGGGACTGGGGTTCCCGACGACCACATCATCGAGCGGATCCAGTTCGACGGCCGCCACGAAGAGCGGCCACATCATCGCCTGGCTGGCGGAGCCCTGCGCGACCAGCGCCGACAGCCCCGCGAGGATTTGGTGGACGATGGCCTTGACGGCGGGATCGCAGGGTCTGGCCCCGTGCAGCGCACATCGAATATAGACCGAGCAGGTCAGTCTCTTGAGCTCTGCCACGCGACTCAAGGTCTCGTCTTCCCGCCCGACGGCGGGTTTCTGGACGAGATTGTCGAGCCGGCATTGGAGATTCGAGGCCCGCGCGCGAAAGGTCAGCTCCTCCGATGCCGAAGCCATCAGGCCGCGTCGGTTGCGGCTGAGGTCCATGATCGCGAACAGGATCGACACCAGCGCGGGACTGCAGCCCATCCAGTCGTTGATGGTCACATCTCCCTCAGACCAGTAGCTGGGTCCGAAGAGATCGGCCTTCGCGCAGGCGGTGCGGCCCATCACGTCCTGGAAGGCGAAGAATAGCTCGACGAATTTCGAGATGGGGTCTCGTGGCGGCGCTGTTGGAAGGGGGAGCAGTGCGTCGGTTTGTGCAAGTGGCTGCTGGCGTCGCAGACGGATGATGTCCTTCGCGCCTTGCAGGTGGATGATCCAGCGTCGGTCGCAGTGATCCACGATCTCGTAGAGGCAGAGCAGCATGATGAGCACGAGGACTTCCGGGTCCGGGCCGAGAAGGAAAGCGCCCCGATCATCGCTCGCAATGCGGCGGCGAAATTCCCCGACGACCTGCGATTTGAGCTTCAGGGCGTGCACGGCGTAGCGTGGGTCCTGCTGGCTCCAGTGGCATGCTGCTAGAGCCATCAGTGCCTTGATCACCACGGGGGAGGCGGTCTGACAGTAGGGCAGGATGACCGCGGCGAATGGCGAGGTGGAGCCGGGGCTTGGGGTCGTCCGGGGGCAGATCTGATTGATGTAGTAGTCCAGCAGGAAGCTCTGGTCCAGGTGGTTCCATAGGGGGGAGGTGGGTAGGGCTGGTCGGAGACTAACTCCATGCACGTTCCTGGCCGGCATGAGCACAAGATCCTGGTGATCGAGCAATTGCTGCAAGCTTTGACTATCCGCATGAACAAAGCTCCACGGATGGATGACCGGGGTTGCAAGGATGGTCTGATCAGCAGTGGACGGGATATTCTTCTTCTCTTGGCTCGGCTTTTTCGAGGCATCTTTGCGCCAGACTCCCGTACGGCCGAATGCGACCCCCCGAGCACGATAATCCGTCTCCCACTTCAGTGTTAGAGTGTCTCGGGTGCAGGAAAGGCCTTTCTGAAAGCAACGCGTACAGACCGGCTGTTTCTCGTCGCATTTGACTTTGCTGCGCCGGCAGTTGGAGCATCCACGGTGGGAGCGGGTGCGCGGTCCACTCATTGTCTTGTGGTGCTGGTGTCATCGCAGAAGTGGCTGGCAGGCATCAGAGTGTGCGTTCTTCTTGCAGTCAATTGCAGTCAATTGCAGTCAGATATCCGAGAATTCTGACATTCTTCAAAGCCGTTGCGGCTGGGGTGATGGGGTGATCCAACGAGAGCCATTTTCTCCCGTGAAGTCATCGCTTAGATAGAAGGAAGCTCCACGCGATGACAAAGTTTGGAGTGGGGAGTGGATGATGGAGAATCTTAACTAATATTTTCCATAAGGTGACATAAGCTAACTAATACTTCTGCATAACCCACGCATAAATGCAGAAGTTGCAGAAGTGCAAAAGAGCATGCATAAATTGCCTATGCATGTCAGGCGGAATCGAGTGGCAGAATTACTTCTCCTGGGCTTCATCCCCACACAATAACAATAACAACAACCCCCCACCAATCCCCCACCAACCCTGCTCACGCGTTGCAATTCCTTTTCATCTATGAATCGCATGAGTGACTAGCCAGCTCCCTGGTTTGAGGACGCGTCCTTAGCGGATACACTGGCGAAATGTGCCGCGCCCTGCCAAGAGAGTGGCGCCTATGCGATGGCGCACCCTGAGGAGAAGGTCTCTGCAGCCTACGTAGCGGCTTTTGCGGTCTGGGCAACCGGTGACATGAAGGCTGCTTTTGTTCTGGGTGCTGAGGCTGAGTTCGAGCAAAACCAGGCGCAGGAAGCCCAAGCCTCGGATCATGCAACGGAAGATGCGACAAGCGAACCCACACCTGATGACGAGGCGGACGACGAGTTGGACAAGAGCGCGGAGGAGGAGGAGGAGGAGGAGGAGGAGGAGGAGGAGTAGGAGGAAGATGAAGAAGAACAAGAAGAAGAAGAACACGTTGCTCTATTCATCAAGACCGAAACACAAGAAGGTATGGCAGTATTCCGACCAGTGGTTGTAGACGAAGATCCTAGAGCCTCCTCATGTACCGCCTCATCCGAAAATCAAAGCATAGAGCGGTGGAATGACCAAGCACGTTTAGTCGCCCCGAATCTATATTCCGGTAAACTATACAACGGAAGATTTGAAGCTTCGAATGTCGTCGAACTTTGGCTTGTACGCGGGGCTCGATGAATACACCGTCGGGGGGGGGGGGGGGGGGGGGGGCGGGGGTCGAAGTCGCTCTATATCAGTCTTTTGAACCCCACCTGGCGTCGATCCGCCTACGGCGGACGAAGCGCATAAACTCAAAGATGGTCGACATATATGTCAACAGTGGCCTTGAAAGGGAACATTTGATCCAATATGCTGAGAAGTGGGTACCGTTCGTCAAGGAACATCAGTATGGCTCCTTCCCTCTTCCTTCCTCCCACCAACGCCCACACAGAGACAACTTCTTCGAATTCCAGACATTGAATTCGAGCATTCTAGCCCAACACTCTTCCTGGTCTTCCGTAAGCCGAGGTGATAGGTTCAGGATGGAATTCTCGTATCTCAATTGATGGGTTCCACACACGAAATACTGCTCCCTAGCACGTCCCACATCTCAGGGCTTCACTCCTTTTTAGTCCCTCTGCCTCTCTGCCTCTCCGCCTATCCGAATGTCTCACCACAACTAACACGATTGACAATGTCATTGGCCAGGATTTGATGTAAGAATCTATCTGTCGGAGCTTCCACCTTTTGTGGTGTCGAAGCGAGAGCAAAGACGAGCCAGAGAGGCTGCACGGAAACACGATGGACATGTTGGACCGACCACTAGATCGTCTGGACGATCTCACCCCTATAGATGATCCCACTGCGTCTTCCAGTATTGGGGGAGGGGAGTTCCAACGCGATTGACGGGACATGAAGATGCTCCCATGCTTTGCGGGCTTGGTGGTACCAATGTCTGCGAATGCGGTGATGCACGCGTTTGTGCCACAATGCCATCATGGAAAGAGAGGACAAGTGGCAACCCGGGGGGAAGACCGTTTCCAAACATTATCCCGATTGGATCTGAAGGCAAAATCAAGGTTGGAATTATTCATTCTCAACGGAACCAAGATCCCACCAGAAGATCATACAACCTTGTATCGACTCCAGGCAATTGAGACGAAGACTGAGAAGCTCTGGCTCGGCTCATCCCACACCCTTTGCAAACTTCAATGCACGACCTGCCGCTGGAGAAGCCGTCGTCAGGTCCAAGGAGCTGGATCCAGGGATTTCGGCGCTTGAAGGTGGCTGCTGTCCTGTCTTTTTTTCCTGCATGAATATCTGGTGGGCTTACTAAGCATCGTCGAAACGGTAGGAGTTTGCGAATGTCCCCACATCACTGCACACGAGGCTCATCTTGGCAATTCCCCACGTCTGCATGCCCTACAACAGTACAACTGCAGACCACACACTGCACATTGCACACTACAGTTCAGGAGCCCTTTGCCAGCGGGTTGATGAAAGCACAATCTGCAAACCTCCGACCATGATCATTCTTGCATTGCTTGTGTGATGCCGCGCAGCTTTTTGGAAGACATCACATCTCCCACGATCACAGCGTAAAATCGACTGACTGACTGCAAGAGTACTGTATTTCTATGCCACTGCCGAGCAAGCATGGCACACCACCATGCATGCTGTGCTGTGCAGACCCACCTCAAAGAAGTAAGACATGCCATCCGGACCCCACCGTCGGTTTCGCTGCGATCGTCGGTGGGCAGGACGATTCTGACAGTCACACGCGGACATTGGGTACAAGGACTCCGGGACCAACATGCCCAAATCAGATGGTCAGATTAGATGAACCACGATTTATAAGATTGATAATCAGTGTTGGATCAATCAGACGGACGGGGAGCACGACAGATTGCCACTTTCGGACGGCCGAACTTCCGCTGCCCGAACTTCCGGCGCTCGAACCTATCTAGACATGTTGCGTGGGATTGAAACAAGGCTCCTAGAACCGGCGGCATCCTTGCGATACGTACAGGTGTAATACTGCGGAGATTGCCCGGTCCCCTCGAACGGATGGATCGCTTTTCGGCTATTACTTGTTTTGGTCGGGCGACAAGGTGAATGCAGGTCAAGTCCGGTTACTCGGCAAGGAAGCGAGGCCAACGACAATTTTCGAGACATGGTATAGTGGATGTACGTGCGTATGCACAGTATGGCCTGGTAGGCCTTGGCCCTCCGGTCTAATTCCTAAAGAAATCTCTGCACAGGCTAGTATGGTTTCAGTTCACTCATAGTACTAGAGTATGAACAAGGACTACGGAATGCGCCTTCGCGTGGAGGTTGCGGATTCCTTGGCACGCGCGGTGGTCCAAGAATCACATACTCCGTTTCTCGCGGTCGATGCTTGAGGTCTTGGCTGTTAAACCTGTTCAGGGATATACCGCCGACAGAATTCTCTGATGCCCAAGACCTCAGGGGCTCCTGACTCAAGGCACGATATCAGGTTCGGGAGCACTACCGAAGATGAAGTGGAGGTTCGAATCCCGTCCGAGCGGAAACGGTAGGAGCTTGCGAGAAAAGAAGAGAAAAAAAAAAAGCTGCCAAGGATCCCCACATCCGCACTGAAGCTCATCTTGGCGACCCACTACAACTGCAGGCTGTACAGACTGCAATTGTCAAACGTTAGAGAAAAAGCCTATGGGTGGCTTAAGTATCGCTCAAGTATCTCGTACAACATGGCTCGGGTGTCAGGACGAATCAGGGCTGTTCTTGCAAAGTATGACTCATTCAATTAAGATTATCTGATGACAAGCACGTACTGTAGCCGAGCGCATTTGGACAGATGATGAATTATCTGACAGCAGAAAAGAAAACAACAAAACACAGAATCAATCGATCAATCAAAGCAACGGACGTGATTTTCCCATCCGCTAACCGAAGTTTTTTTTCCCTCTCTCCGACCCTTGCACACCCCCGCTCACTTCATCTCCACCATCTGCTGCTCCACCACGGCCTCCTCGTTAAACAGCCCACTGTGCACCTGGCGCACAATATCCTCCCCGTTCTCCTGCATGGCCGCAAGCTTGGGCTTCACGTACCACCCGAGGCCCGGCACCTTGGCCAGCCCGATCAGAATGCGCTCGCGCAGGGACCGCTTGCCCGAGCGCTCCTCCCACAGCATGTAGGCCACGCACAGCATGATGAAGATCCAGTAGACGTTGTACGAGATGATCGAGCCGTACGTGCCGGTGTTCTCCCACCCGAGAATCGCGTTGAAGACGTCCCATCCATTGTCAGTTTCCGCGTTGCAGCAGTTGACGTGCCAGACCGTCTGGAGGATGTTGTACGAGCCCGCACCGCTGCCCTCCTCGGCAACATCGGAACCCACCCCCTTCTGGTATTCGTAGTACTGCAGATCCCAGATCGACTTGGAGAACATACCCGCCGCGATCAAGTACAGCACGCAGGTCGAAGCGATGAGGAAGAGCTGGATGGACATGACATTTCCACCGCGGTAGATGAGGTAACCACAGGTCAACCCGGCCAGCATACCGGTGAAGACGGGCAGAGGGAACGCAGTGGCCGGGTAGCCGAGTGAGACACCACCGACAAAGACAACGGCTTCGACACCCTCACGCATGGTGGTGATGAACGGAAGGAGAAACATGGCGTAGCGACGGGCCCAGTCTCCGAGCCACTTGGACTTGCGGTGGTGCTTGCTCTTCTCGACCAGCGCCTTGGCGATTTTGATGCGCCACTGCTCTTTGGTCTTGTTGATGCGCAGCAGAGCCAGACCCATGACGGTCACGATGATGGTCGCGATCAGGTAGAAAATACCTTCCCAGAGATCTTCGGCGTTGGACCAGATATCATGGCCCAAACCGTAGAAGACACCGATGAACGCGCCACCGATGACAAGGCAGCAGACGATGCCTGTTATTGAACCCGCCCATACTTGCCGCACCAGCCGTTTGTAGATCCCCTGGTCCTGGTGTGGCTGACCCAGACTCTGCTTGAGGAAGGCGAGGAGCACCGAAACGATAATCACCGCTTCGAGACACTCGCGGAAAACGATGAAGAAGACCTGGACAGCAAAGACATTGACCATGGTGGGCGACTGTGAGCGAAGAAGAATCGCACAGGAAAAACCGGAGTCTAGGTGTTGGGAAACCCTGAGAATGCAAAGGCAAAGGTCTCCGACGGGGACTATATAACGGCTCCGTGGAATGCACACACCCTGTCGGTTGCCCCTCCCTTGCGTTTTCCCAGCGGCAATTTCTGGCGAGGCTAGTTCTCAACCGTCTCTCGGAGAGACATCTTATCTGATCATTCGACGCCTTGGCCTCGCAAGGTTGACCCTGTTCCGGTTCGGGGGGATCCACTGTCCAAGACCCGTTAAGCACCGAACCCAATCTTATCATCCCTTGGCCAATCATTCCAGGCCCCACCACCATCTGATATGGTCTGGATGGAGAGCGGGGGGGGGGGGGGCAGTTCGTATCGAAAACAAACTTACCACCCACCCAGTTCCCTCCATCCTTGTTACCACTAGTTGATGCGCCAAGCGAGAAAGAAAAATTCCCGCGGCGTGTGCCTCCGTATAAAGCAAGTACACCGGAACCGCAGGAGAGTCCTCTTCCTTCTCCCAGGAAGCTGTCGTCCCTCCTCCTTTCCTCTCCGTCTTCCCCCTTCCCTTTACTGAGGATGCTGCCCTATCTTTGCTACCTGCTGCTGCTGGTGTTCAGCAAGCCTCTGCTGGCCAAAGACGTTGTCTACGACTTCAATGTCACCTGGGTGACAGCCAATCCCGATGGACTGGCCGACCGGAAGGTGGTGGGTATCAACGGGCAATGGCCCTTGCCCGTCATCGAGGTCGACAAGGGCGATCAACTGATTGTGAACATGTACAACGGACTGGGTGACAAGAGCACCAGTATTCACTTCCACGGAATGTACCAAAATGGCACCAATGACATGGACGGGCCCTCGATGGTCACCCAGTGCCCTGTCGCGCCCGGATCCAGCATCACCTACAACTTCACCGTCAACCAGAATGGAACATACTGGTATCACTGCCACACCGATTACTGCTACCCCGACGGCTACCGACAAGCATTGATCATCCACGACAACAACTCCTACTTTGCTGATGAGTACGACGAGGAGTTCACGGTGACCCTGAGCGACTGGTACCATGAGCTGGCCGAGGACATCAAGCCCGAGTTCATGTCGCTGTACAATCCGACCGGCGCCGAGCCCATCCCCAACTCCTGGCTCTTCAACGACACCCAAGATCTGAGCCTGTCCGTGAAACCAAACACTACGTACCTGCTGCGGCTGGTTAATATTGCAGCCTTCACCGCCCAGTACTTCTACATCGAGGACCATACCTTCAAGATCGTGGAGATCGATGGTGTCTACACGGAGCCCACGGAAGCGGACATGCTCTACCTTGCCGTGGGACAGCGGTACAGCGTGCTGCTCACCACCAAGGACACGGCCACCAAGAACTACGCCATCGTCACGGTGGTGGATTCCACGCTGCTGGACACCATCACGCCGGACCTGCAGCTCAACAACACCAATTGGCTCGAATACGACTCCTCCGCCACATACCCGCAAGCCAACATCACAGTGGCCGAGTCGTCGGACCTCGACCCCTTCGACGACGCCACGCTGGTGCCCTACGACCACGTGCCCCTACTGGAGGACCCGAGCGTCTCGATCAACGTGGCCATCGTCATGGACAACCTCAACAACGGCGAGGGCTACGCCTTCCTGAACGAGATCAGCTACACCGCCCCGAAGGTCCCGACGCTGTACACGGTGATGTCGGCGGGCGACCTGGCCACGGACCCCACCGTCTACGGCGACTACACGCACACCTACGTGCTGGACCACAACGAGGTGGTCGAGATCATCCTGAACAACAACGACACGGGCTCGCACCCCTTCCACCTGCACGGCCACAACTTCCAGGTCATCGACCGGTACCCCTCCTACGGCCCGGACTTCTTCGAATTCGCCGATGCCGGCATCCCCCAGCCCTTCGATGCCAACAACCACTCCGCCTACCCGGCCTACCCGCCGCGCCGCGATGTGATTGTCGTCCCGCCCGAGGGCTACGTCGTGCTGCGCTTCCGCGCCGACAACCCCGGCGTCTGGTTCTTCCACTGCCACATCGACTGGCATCTGATGCAGGGCTTGGCCATGACCTTCGTCGAGGCGCCCCTCCTCCTCCAGGAGAAGCTGACCATCCCCCCGGACCATTACGCCGCGTGCAACGCCTCGGGGATCCCGTACGTGGGCAACGCGGCCGCCAACACGGAGGATTACCTCGATCTGAAGGGCCAGAACAAGCAGCCCGGTTGGATTCCGGACGGCTTCACCACCCGCGGTATCGTGTCGATGGTGTTCACGGTGCTGAGCGCTTTTCTGGGCATGGGGTCCATCGCCCTGTATGGGCTGTCGGATCTCAAGTTCGTGAAGAAGCCCGAGGCCCAGGCGGATGGGAGTGGGCAGGCGGGTCAGGGGGATGAGTATCGCGATTAGATGTTGTGGGATTGAGCTTAATGTGGTTAATATGTGCGTTAAAACTGTGTATGTTGGTGATATATTTAATGGTATGACTTTTGTTTTGAGTGGTCGTGTATTCCCTGGCTGGGATGGTGTAGCTTCGCTTCCATGTGGCGATCGTAGCGACACTGTGCTTCGTATCAGATGGCGATGTTGCCGGTCGGCTACCGTCTTGACGGATCGGGTCCGGGTGCGCGGCCATTCATCCATGATGTCCTCTTGAGGTGTACTGGTATTTTTATCTATGTAACGATAAGGATGAAGCTTAGGGCGGGGTGAAATGGAACGATTCTCAAATCCTTGGGGGTTGGAACTGACTGAATTATCTGTGCTTGGACTCGCTAATTGAATCGCTTCAGATCTCTCGGGCGGATAACTCGAGGAATACCGGCGATATATATCGTCGAGGAAACAAACCACGGCATGCCATGGTGAGAAGGATATATCTAGTCGTTTGCCAGAACTCCAGTACCCGGGCCACACATGACACCACCATCGCATCGCCATGAAGATAAAAATACCAGATAAGAGGGTTGCTAGGAATTGTGGTGGAGCATCTGGGTGTACGGTAGAGACCCTGCGGCGGTCGACTATTGCTAGAAATCTGCGTTGTCCTGGTCGTTCAGCTTATCGGGTGTGGCAGCTCTTTGTGTCTGCTTCGGCTTGCGTATGAGCAAATTTGAGACTGCTCCAGAGCTGCTGTGTACATGGACATGTCTGATGATTGTGCAATGGTCAGAACCTCACCCAAGGTTGCCAGGCTTGTGGAGGCGATTGCTGCCTAAGGCCTCGGAAACAAGACAAGAGGGGTGGTGGCAGTAAGTATGGTTTGAGAAGGCGGTGGGAAATATTCCAGTTTCCGGTGGGGCCAAGGAAAGAAGGTGAAATACTTTCGCGCCATCCGTTCCTTTTACTTCTTACACAACCTGGACAAAGTGTCGGTCACTTCTGTTCTCTTGCTTTTGTGCCAGTTTCTGCCAAGAGAGCACTATTAATTTTCAATACAAACTCATGCTCTTAATTGCTCAGTCACTCTTCCTAATATGAATAACAGCACTCTATGGTTTTGAATTTAAGGGTCTTCTCTATTTGCTGTATAGATCGGTGGGCAATCGTGGCCGGATCTACACTGTGAAGAACGCCGGTGCGGCGATGCCGACAGGCCAACTGTGCAGATGCCAACACCGCCACCTGCTGATCTCAGCCACGGTGGCTGTGGAATAGCGGACCAATGGGCGGCCTGTGCATCACCGCCATTCTGACCTGCCAGGTGGCGCGGCCCTCAGGCAGGAAGCTCGAAGAGGGGTTCGCAAGGCGACGAAATTCTTCCTTCTAGTCCCGGTCTAGCGCTCTTAGCCCTCTCTAGTCCGGTCGCATCCCTTCCCAGCTTCCATCATGGAACAGGGGATTGCTCAGCATGGATACAGCAGTAGCAGTGGAGTTGAGTAGAGAAGCAAAGCAGGATACGGGCACGGTACAAATATCGAATCCATTGATCTCACCTACCGATCACAATCCACACGCGATGTTGAGTACAGATGTCAGTCCGCACACGTTGGAACTCTGGACAGGACATGAATGTACAGTACAGTACAACCGGGTACCTCGACCAGACAGCAAACTCCTCTCCACGTCAGGTACCGGTACAGTTAACCTCGGATGGAGCCACAGCACTGACACTCCGGATGACATGGCCCTGATTTTCTCCATCCATCCACACGTCAGTCAACCGTAGGCAGTGACAACACTCCCCCCCTCAGCGATCCATGCAGCCATTCAAGCCTATTTTCCCACCCGCCTGCTGCCTTGCTCTTGGCTTCATCGACACCCAACCGCCGGGTTGAGGGATGCGGTGATCGCTGCTCCCGTTCGTTGCTTTATGCCCATCCCATCGGCTAGGCGCCGCCTGGGGTCATTGCGTCCTATGATTTTAAATTCCGTCCCAGCCCCCTCGGATTCACTTTTCTGTAATCCTGTTCAATTTTCCTATATGGTTGCCTTGAGTATCTCTGCTTTGCCCTGCCTATCGGTCGCGAAAGAACTCCTTTGGGTGGCGTGGCTTTCTCGTTTTCGCCGTACTCCGTACTACCTCCTAGCGCCTTCAACTGCATTTCGATCCCGCCGCTTGCCGCCGCTTATCGGGACTGCGAGGGCTTTGCCGTTGCTCGTGATCATCGTTCCATCCCCCTCACCAGCGAACCTGGCCTGGACTGCACCGATTCAGCTGTCGTTGTTGATATTTTGCCATCGGAGGTATACTTCGCCATTGATTCCTACCTGACAATCATCGCTCCTCTCTTATAACCAAACCAACCACACGCCTACCTCAACCTGGTCCAACTCGGTGCCCTCAGCGATACCCACAATCCAAGCCAAGATCGGGGCCAAAGACATCCCCCCCCACTGAGGATCCCAACTATCCAGACACTATCAACTAGTCCTGCGCTACACCGCTCGTCTGACGTCCATTCCCCCGCCCCTTTGTGCCGGAATTTCCACCCATCATTGAAAAGTTGGAGCTTCGACCAGAATTGAATGTCGAACGGGGAGTTGCTTCTTCATTCGACATCCCGGTCGTGCTGAATCCCCATACACGCTGACACCAAAGGCCCGAGTTGAAGCACAACTCCAACCATGGCCCCGTTGGGCGAGACCATCGCGGTGATTGATAAGTCCGGGAAGGTGGTTAGCACGGTACGTATGCGCTTGCTGCTCCACAATCCCTCGCGATAAGGAAATTGACCTCTTCCCCCCTGCGGGTCACAGAGTAAACATCTCTTCGGGGTGTTCAGCCAAGCCAAGAATGCCTACCGGGAACGCAAAGCCCAAGTGCAGTCCGAGCGGAATGCCAAGATTGCGGAGAGGGAAGCCCTGAAGGCGTTACAGAACTACCACATTGACGGGGGTGACCAACACTACCAGTACGACGCGGCCCCGTCCGTTGCATCGTCGCGCCGGAGTCATTCCCGACACTACTCGGGCCGCAGTCGCAGCCACCATCCGCGCGGGGGGTCCCTGTACGAGGAAGATGTGGACGACTACTACAACCAGCCCCGCGAGATGGTGCGACGACACACGCACCACGACGTGGGCGTGCGGGAGATGGACCGGCCGGTTCCGGTCCGCTCCCGGTCCGACCACCCCTCCCACTCCCAGGTGGATATGGACCTGGCCTACGGCGAGTTTCACCCTTCCGCACTGGAACAGCAGCAGCAGCAGCAGCCCCGCCAGGGGGAGCTGGTCCCGCACCAACCAGGCCAACTACAGCGCATCGAGGACCCCGAATTGAACGGTCTCGTCACCCGTGCACAGTGGCTCCTCGAGGAAGCCGACTGCATGCAACACACCGCCACCGCGACCATCGCCCACCTGCAGAAGAACCCGGACTCCATGGCGGCTGTCGCGCTCACGCTCGCGGAGATCAGCAACCTGGTTACCAAGCTGGCCCCCTCGGCGCTCGGGGCGCTCAAAGCCGCCGCACCCGGTGTGTTCGCGCTGCTCGCGAGTCCGCAGTTCCTCATTGCGGCCGGGGTGGGGCTGGGAGTGACGATCGTCATGTTCGGCGGCTACAAGATCATCAAGCAGATCCAATCAGCATCGAAAACTCCGGTGATTGAAGCTGCCCCACAGCAACAACCATACCCACAACAACAATACCCGCGAGACGGCGCAATGGACGAGCCCAGCATGGAGGACATGATGGAGCTCAACACGGATTGCCTGAGCAGCGTCGAGATGTGGCGCCGCGGGGTGGCCGACGCTGAGGCCGAGAGCGCCGGCACTTCTGTCGATGGCGAGTTCATCACCCCGACCGCCGCTATGATGTCGGGCATCGATGTCACAACCGCGCGTATGACCCGCGACCCGCGCTTCAAGTTCGACGACGACGAGGAGCGCTCCATGGCCTCCTCGCGGCGGTCGCGGCGGTCGCGCTCGCACCACCACAGCGGCAGCGGCGGGAGATCGCGGGCGGACCACCGGCCCCCGGAGTCGTATGTGGGCTCTAAAGCTCCTTCGTCGCATCACACCCTGTCCAACTCGGAGGCCAAAAAGCCCAAGGAGAAGACGAAGCGGTCGAGTCGCTTGAGGTTGATGTTCACTACTTGACGCGATGGGACGGTGCCCGTGGATGGCCTATGATTTAACGATACTACTAAACGACAGACCTCACCTGGGGTGAAATGATGTATAAAGTCGATCCTTTCTTTCTAGCCTTCTCTTTCTTCTTTCTTTCTTTCTTTCTTTCTTCTTCTTTTCCTTTTCTTTTCCTTCCTACCTCCAAGATACAGCTCGATGGGATCATGTCAGCATGCTGATTACGTTAAACCGAGGTTTCGGGATGCGCGTTTGTCAACACTCAGAACTAGGGATCGCATTTCATGTTCTTGTACCCTACCAGAATGAGACAGCTGTTTTTAAAGTCGTGATCTAGGCGGATAGCTGTCATTCCGGGGGGTTGGGGGGGGGTTCATTCTTTTGCATATACACCGGCGTCCGGGAACTTGCCATCTACCATTCTGTGACATTCAATCTACGAGTTTTCTTCCCCAAGAAGCGACAAAACTTACCGATTCCTGCGTTCGGACACTTGGCTTGTACATACTACTAAGGGATATCTTTCTCTCTCTGCCATGAACTCGATATACATACATTTGTTTTCTCCTTTCACCGTGTGCCTTGTGGTTACCATTTGATAAGATCTGCCTAGGGTATAAGTGTATCTTATGTGACAGAGCATTGACAGCATGGGCCTATACAGTAGTGCGGAATCTTATCGTTCCAATGTAAAATTTGAGGGACCTCAAGAATTTACGAGATGAAAGTTCCGTCGTTGTGGTAGGGCAAGTGTACTTTCGTACAGATGGGGAAGATCGGTTGCTGGGACGTGACGATTTCTTTCTGCAGAGCAATATGCATTGCATACTGAGGTCCAAGAATGATTGGAAGACAACCACAAAACCATACATCCCCCATAATTATCTTGATGACTTGTCAGTTCTCCGATGAGAGTGAAACTTTGGCATTGTCGACGAAGATTGCATAGGGTGAACCTGCTGGTGGCGGTGTCCTTTAACCGTCTCTTTCACTAAAAGGGAAAGGATATGCCTACTACATGTACATAATACTCCATCTACATACCCGCTCCTTCAGAACCCTTTTTTGATTACTCGGGTACTTGTTGAGGAGAATACCTAACCCCCTCCCCTGCTTTTTCTCTTTTCTTCTAGGTGCTGCGCATCTTGCTAAACCTTAAGCTTCTGGGGCACTTGTTGTATCTTCGATTTTGCTTTTCTGTTCTTTTCCTTTTCAACTCTGTTTTAGTCAACTCTAGTCAACAGTCTAGTTCTTTTGCTGAAGAAAAAGAAAGAAAACTTCAAAACAAAAAATAATGAACAAGGACAACACAGTCCACCAGACAAAGGTGAAGTCAATGTAACAACAACATTTATTCTTTGTACCCCATCTCCTCGCTTGGGCTGGAATAATACTGGACCTGTGTAAGAATCAGGTCTACGAGGCAACTAGGGAAAAGAGTGCAATAGATATTTTGAAGGTGAGTTTGAGATCGAGGGCAGTATAAGAATAAGCCTCTGGCCTGGAGAGACTCAGACGAAAGAGCTAAATCGGAAATCACAGACAGTAGTCACCAGGTAGTAACCAAAAGCAGCTTTCTCGAGTTTTCCTTCACCCTCCTATCTTCCATGGATCTTGGGCGTGCGATCTTGTCGAGTAATAAATATAACCCCAGACATCATGCGGAAGTCCTCTGGATGTTGCCTTTTGGTTGTAAGCCCGAAGGTCCGTCTGCTCGAGTGTATGGGAATAGCTCACTTACCACCCAGCAGAGCTTGCTTACGCACAGCAGTAGGGGGCGTTGGCCGGGGCGCCGGAGGTCTCGGAGCAAGGGAACTCGCCGTTGCCGCACTCCTGGTTGCAGAGATCGAGGGTCGCGTAGCAGTTCAGGGCGGAGGCGGTGCTGATCAGGCCGAGGGCCAGGAGAAGGGTGGAAAGCTTGAGCTGCATGTTGAGAGTCTTTTGGACGGGGAAAAAGTGCGAGACTTGAAAACCTTTGCTGGGGGAGGTAGTGGTTCGAGGCTTGTGAGGGATGGAGAGAGAAAAAGAAAAGGCAGGACAGGAGCCAATCCAGACGGTACTTAAACCGCACGCAATGGTACCTGTAGATGCGTCTCATGTACGAATTCGTTCGACGCGGAGAGTTTTGCTTATCTAAAGTACTCCGTACCCACTCCCTGTTATTCTGTCTCTAGCGTGCTGGTTACTAGTGAGCTCCCGTCTTGTTGAGGCAATGGCCTGGTGGACCTCGAACCAAGACTGAGTATCGAGTAGCTCTGAAGTCAGGCCACCTGGACGCAACAACGATATGCCGGATTGAGCAGAGTACAGCACGTGCTGGATCAACAAGGTATGCCAAGCCATGATTGAAGCTCCGTTCGTGCACGATCCGATCATGCAGGGAAATCTGCGCGATTGCCTTGGAAGAAGGCAGGGGATCTATCGTCCTCATTGCACCGACTTGGCTGTATGTATGTACTGTACAGGGTAGGCGTTCAAGCTCATTCATCCGATTAGATTTCAGCCCTATAAGCAGGGTCCGATGGTGCCAGCCAGCCTTGTTCCCCTCCCGCTAATTACTTTAGCCGGTGGGCCCTGATACATGGGCCAATGGTACTCCGACTAAGCTCCTGATAATCTCAGTTATGATCAATTTAGAACCGCCAGGGATTGGTTCACGCCTCTGGGACTCATGCAGAATCTGATAATTGCCTTAAACCCCGTGCATCTCACACCAGTCTACTGCAAGTATTACTCCATTACAGCCGGTCCCCGAATATCGGAGCAAAGGAATTTCCATATCACATACTACAAGCTCTAGGTACTGCCTATATGTTGCTCGAATTGCAAAGAACGGCAGTAGAAGGCAACTAAGAAACGCCAACGTATAGGGTCACAAACAGGGCCACCGGCCGTTGTCTGAAGGGTCCCTTCTGGGCTGACCTCTGAAACAGTCTCTTCCCGTCTCCCCATTCCCGCTCGGAGTATGCATGCCTGCCACCCTCCGACCTCCGACCTCCGATATACGTCAACCTGAAAGACCAACCAGCTATATACCCCAGCGGACGGAAAGTTTCATGGAATCACCCCAAAGCTTGTCCCGCAGTGACACATATCGTCGTTCGTCCAGACTTATGAAAGTGGCTGGTCTCAGCCAGGCAACCTGACTTGCACCCGACTCTCATTGGCCCATTCGACATGCTAGCCCATGTTTATGTGCCCACTCCTTGGGCGGCGTGGAGGTTATGTGGGTTATTTCGCATCTTGCAAAGGGTCGCAAGGTGAATCCATCGCTGGGTTCGAAATGGCCCCTGGGGGACGTCTGGTATGGTTATGTGATATGTCTTGCTGATTCTTGAAGGAAAGACTCCAACAACGAAAGTAAGAACCTAAAATCTAACACAGTCTCAGGACACATACGCAATTGCACGCGTGCAGGAAACGCAAAAAGGGTGAAATTGAAAAGCAAAAACATACAACAGAAGGGATTCGCTGGTGGTCACCCACCCAACTACTAACCTCCCGGCGTGTGGCTTGAGTACGGCTGAGCGGACGGGAAGCCCTATTTTCCACACCCTGTGGTCGTATGTGCCTGGAAAACCAGTGGTTAGCTTTATATACCTTGTTCTGTAAAAAAAGACAGAGTCATGTAGTCTCCCATGCTGGATCATTGCACTATGGTTCATGTCCCGATAGTCATATTTGATGTGTCCGAGATGAGGCACGCCTGTCGGTAGGTACTATACCTAATCATGCGGCGCAACCGAGCCCCCTTTTTAATCTATGCTCTGTG